TTTATAAGATAAACTTTTTACGTAATAACGATCACTCGACAAAATTTTAATACTTTTCTAGATTTTCATATAATAACGCATAATTTTTATTATAGAAGTTTATATTTTTAATTTTATTGTAATTAATTTAAATTTGCCAAATTAAAAAACTTAATGAGAATTTTTAGACATTTGAATTTTTCCATTTCTTTTTACAACATTTTAGTTTATTAATAACAAATTAATCAGATTTTCTAATTATTTTTTAGATTTTTAATATTTATAATAATTTAAGCAAAAAGTTGAAATTATAATTTAATTTAATCCTAATTATTTTGTGAAATAATTATGCCACATTCAGAAAAAAAAAAATTTACTAAATTAGAAAATTTAAATTTATAATTTCTTTATAATATTTTATTAAGGATTTAAGAAGTTTCCATACTAAATTTTAAATTTATTGTATTTAGATGCACGAATTTTACTTTTCCTGCTTACTAGTTTTGTAGTTTATTAAAAACTTTAAACAGTAAAAAAAAGATAATTTTAGCTTAAAAATTTTCATAATTAAAAATGAGATTCAGTTTTAATTTAATTACTTTACCAAATAAAATTCAATCAAAATTTAGTTATTGTAACTTTTTTCCTACGAAAAATTAGAGGTTTTAGTTATATAAGGATTGGGGCGAAACTTGTAGCGGTTTTGTAGTTTTTGTAGAATATATTGGAATTTATTTAGCTTTTAAAAAGAGAAAAAAGGTTGAAAAAAAAATTGAATATACAATAAAATCATTTTTGCAGTTTTTTTATGAATGCTTTATTATTACCTGTTTTTCTTAAATTTTATAAATGTATTAAATTTTTAATAAGTTTATATAAATTTATAAAGGATTGAGATTAGTTAAAAACTTAATAAAAGATAGAAATTAAAAAAATTTGTGAGAAAAACTTTCGTTAATTTTTTTCTTAGTAACTTAAACAATTTTATAATTTGTAAAGCACAATTAAAAATTTTATTGTGAGAGTTGGAAGTGAATTTACTTTGAAAAAATTTTCTGTAGAATTTTAAAAAAAATAATTTTATTTATGAAAGGTTGAGGGTGGCGATTTTTAATTAAAGATTTATAATAAAAAGTCCAAAGGAAGGGAAAATATTTAGCATTTTCTAAACTTCCTTATAAAAAGTTTTCTATACGAAAACTTTTCTAATTATTGATTATTGAGTAAAAAAACTGTGAAATCGAAAAATAACTTTCAAGCACTTTAAATTCCTTATATAAACTTTTTACAAAAGATTTACTTATTAATTTAAAAGATAGTGAAAAGAATGAAGCAAGAAACTACTAAGCATTTATTTAGATTTTTTTAAAAAGTTAAATTGAAATTATTTATAAAATAATTTAAATTTATAAAGTTTTTATGCGAAAAATATTTTCGAGGATTTTTTATTGGTTTTATAAATTATATTTATTTGAAAATTAAAATAAATATATACACTTTTAAGGAAAAAATCTTTTTAGCTTTCCTTATAAATTTTTTATAAAAGATTTCTTACAAGAAGTTAATTATTAATAAAAAATTTATTAAAAGAAAAAGTTTCTAGAGAGGAAAAACTTTTAAAGTATTTACTTTCGTTTCTTTCAAAAATGTATCTACAAAAAATTAATTTTTAATCAAATTCAAAAGATTAAGAAGTTTTTCGAGCATTATTTATAGATTTTTTTTAAATTTTTTTCAAAATTATATTTCTATATAAATGATTAAGTAAAAAAGTTTAAATCGAGGCAAAGATTCATGCTTTTTTTATAAAAGTTAAATTATTATTATTTCTTATATAATAAATATAAAAAGTTTATAAAAGGAAAATTTTTTAGGCATTTCCTATAAAATCTTTTTTTCTGTGCTTCTTTACGAAAAGATGAATTATGGAAATTTCTAAAAAATTAATTAAAAAGTTTAAATTAGGAAAAATAATCTTGATCCTTTTTATCTATTCTTTATAAAAAGCTTTTTTACGAAAAATTTATAAATATTTATAAAAGAATATAAAGGTTTTTTTTTAGAAAAGTTAATTTATAAATATTTATATATGGGATTAAGTAATAAGATTAAAGCGGATAAAAATTTAAAAAAAAATTTTAATTTTTAAATGTTGAAATTATAATTATTTATAATAAAATTAAATGTTTCAAACGAAATTTCTCTAACCATTTCCGTAGCTACTTTATAAAGTTTTCTTACAAAAAGTTACCTTTTAAATATATTAAAAGTTTAAGTGGAAATAAAAAAATTGAAAGCGACTTTTCTAGATTCCTTATGAAAAGATTCTAATCTTAATTATACTTAAAAAATTGTCATTAGCGGAATCCTGCAAAAAAAAGAAAAAAATTTATAGTGAATATTTTAATAAAATGTAAAACTACTACTACTTTTGAGCATATAAAAATAAATAAGTTAAAAAAATTATATAAAAATGTGTAAAAGAATTATTATTCTAGTAAGTATCCAAATTAAGTACTATTAAATAAAGGGCGTTTCGAAAATCTTTAGGAATTTATAATTAGAGATTTTATATTAATACTTCAATATTTTTGTTTGACTATAAAAGTTTTTAAGTTTAATAATTAATTGTTTTAATTATTTCCTTTGCATTATTTCAATTATTTAAGTTATGATATGTAAAATATTACTGGGAAGGTCAGCATTAAAAATATTTTAAATATATTCATAATTAAAAATATTAACATAGTAAGTAAAATAACAGCAAATACTTTTTACTTTAAAAAATATCTTTTCCTCTCTAACAAAAAAAATTGTAAGTAACAATTTAGAGTCACAAAATTGTTTAAAAAGCACTTGTTGCTTTATAAAAATATAAGCAAACTTTGATAATTCTAGTTAATTTTAAATTTTATTTTCAGATTAGTATATATATAATATAAAAGCTTTTTAACTATTTAATTATATATTCTTTTACATATCGTATTAATAGAAGTTCTTTTTCCTGAAACTGTTTGGAATTTTTGGCAATTACATCTTTTACAGATTGCCGTTTCTCTTGGGCTATACACCTTCTATCTTTTTAGCGTGAATAAAGAAGTTAATTGAATAATAATAAAAACCAGATATAGAATAATTTAATTTTTCACTGCATTGCTAAAAAAATATATACACTTTCTCGAAAAAACATTAGTTTATATTTTTTTTAAGTTTTTTTTAAAATTTCTTTAGCAAAGTTTAAACTAAGTTCGATTTTACAATTGTTAAAAAAATATTAATAACTAATTTAATATTGCATTGGTAGAAAAACAATTGATGCTTTATCTTACTAGAATTCTTTAGTAATAACATATTTTAAATGTGCGATCTACAAACATTAAATAATTTTAAAAACTTGTTTGAAAAAACAAATTCAAATTTCAACGGTAGAAGTCGTGCTTTTTCTCAATGTTTTGCTCTATTTCTTTACTTTAAGAGTGCTATCTAAAATTTGTTAGATTATGAATAATTGATTATAGCATCGCTAGAAAAACTCCTTTTTTAAAAAGTTTTTTTAATTACTATAGCAATAATCTATTTCAAATGCAATCAACAAATCTTTAATTACAAAAACTTGAATAAATAAAATTTTGTAAAGTGTCCAACTGGTGTACAGTACAGTTACTTATTACTGTGAGCTATAAGCAAATGTAGAAAGCCAGTAATAGTTACTAGTGCAGACTTAAAAGTTGTAAAAAAAAAATTAGACGGCCCGAATGAAAGATAACTTCTCATTCTAATTTTAAGCAATTTGAAAGGTGAATAAATAATACTGAAATTTTAGAATTATCTAATTTATGGTTTTAGTAAGTAACTATACTGCTTCGAGAAACCAAACATTTTTGATAAAATATGTCGTTTCTGGCAAGTAGCTATACTAATTAGAAAATCACCGCACCTACGTGTAACTGTACACCTAAATTTCATGCCTTAAAAGAAGTATACTGATGAAGGACCTTAAAATTCTAAAAGAAAACTATATTTGTGACGTTATATATATTAAAACTACAAACTAAAGGTTAAGCAATGGTAAATGTTTACGTAAACTCCAAGATGGTGAACAACTATTCCTCATAAATTAGGTACTATCACTGAAAAATATATCCTTTTAAGATTTATAAAAAGATACCACTTTATAACCCTTTTATAATATGAAAAGTAAATCATTTTTTACTCCGTTTAAAATGATTAAAGTATAGCGCTTTTGTTGAAATGGATCTTTTTAAACTAAAAAAAAGAAAAAGTATTTACTGGATGAAAGAGTTATATTATAATATGGAAATAGATTAGCTCTGTTTTATAAGAACAAAGAAATCTTATAATTCTTGAGCATGAAAAAAAAATTAACACTGTTCTACAGTGCAAACCATAATAAATAAGTTTACTTGATTAATATAAAATAAATAATATTAATAATTAAAGCTTCTTTAAACTCCTTTATAACTTCTACTGGTATAATAGCTTTAACGGTAATTAAAAATATAAAAAATTGTATTAATGATCCAAACTTTGGTGCAACATTAAAGGTACGAAGTACTCCAAATTACTCGGAATTGAAAATAACTTAAATTTAAGAATTGCGAAATAATTCGGAGATATGCTTTTTATAAGGAGAGCTGAGTTTAAAGAGAATAAAAATAACAAAGTTTAAAAAAAAGCATCATTGAAACAAAAAGATTACTAACTTTACTATAATTAACTTACTGATATATATTTTCTATAAATTTATAATATGCTTTACAAAACTTATTATTTTTCTAAATCTTTAGTTATAAGAAATATTTTTAACTTACTTTTTTAAAAAAATAGCACTAAAAGGTATAAAGTAAAAATATTCCTTTTTTCTGGGGACAAAAGTTGTATCATTTGGTTATAAAATAAAAGTTGAAGTTGGTGGCGTCTTTCATGTACCAGCGCGAGTACTTTTGTTATTCTTGCGTTTCTTTATATTTCTGGTGTTGCAAAGAGTTATGTGCGTACTATAATTTCAACTTTCTTGCAAAAATTGCAATATATATATATAAAGTTTTTGTGAAAGTTAACTATTAACATGGCTAAAAAGGAAAATATTAAGAAAAGTGAAGAACAAGGTTTTTTGCTATAAATTGAAATGTTAAAATTAACGTGCCTCACCACTTTTACTTTTTTGTGTTATTGAGAATTAATACTTTTTGTTTAATTAAGCAACGAACATTATAAGAAGTTATATGCTTCGACAAAACCGACCATATAGTGCTGGTGACTTCTTTATAATTAAAACTAAATTTGAAGTATGAAACCAATTTTCATAATAAAAACTACTTTAAAGGAGATGTTTTTTTAAATCTTCATGGAGAAGTAGGAAAAACGCAGTGCGTTAAGATTTTAGCTTCACTTGCATCTTCTAAAGAATTGGTTGAAAAGGAATACGGAAAACAAAAAATATACTTTGCGTTTCAGGTGTGCATTATTTATAAATAAATTTTCGTGGAAAGGGAAATTTATAATTATAAATTTTTTTTTTATGCTCACTGTTAACACAATTACATTTAATTCACACCAATAAAAATAATAATAGCATTAAATTGATAAGATTTATTAAATTTAAATTTGAATTTTCAGAGTTAAATTATAATTTTTCTATTAAAATCTCCTACGAAAGGGAGAATGCGCTTCCCAAGAAGAAGTTGATGAAGTCAATCTAAATTTTGATAAAATTCGCGAAGAACATAATAATCTTGAATCGGAGTTGAAAACTCTTACTGTTGGTAAATTTATTATTATTATTAAAAAAAAAAATTTAATTTTATTTTTTTTGTTTAAGAGCTAAACAATATCAACGATATAAAAAGCACAGAAGAGCTTTCAGCTTACTGTGAAGAACTCACTAAACAAGTAAAAAGTTCAACTTAAAATATATTTATTAAAAAAATTTTAATGTAATTTTATTTGAATTAAAAAGTAATAACTATCGGTACAGAAATAATTAGTCAATAATTTTTAATTATAAATTTTATAAATCTTTATAATAATACTTTGAAATTTTTATATATTTAATAAAAATAATACTTGATTTATAATAATCTCTTATTTTTCTCAAATTTCATAGTTTGTACTATGAAAAAATTTCTTTGTCTTGCAATCAAACTTTTGTTTACTTTTAGTTATATCTTATGTATTCTTTTTATAATTTTTACTATCACGCGTAAGTTTAGCATATAAATTATTTTTTTAAATAAAAATTAAAACATGTAGAATTTTTAATAATACTTTTTTAAGGTTGAAGATCTTGAATCTTCGTTGGAACCTTTAAGAAAAAGTATACAACTTATTAATTGAATAAGAAAATTAAATTTATTGCAAAATTTTAAAAAGAGAAATTTACTATTAGCGAGGAAGAAAGAAGTCTCGTAGAAAAAGCTCTTTTCACTTATACAGCTGAATGGAAATCGAGAAAAAGAAAGGTAAGCAGAAATAACTCCGAATTACAAATTAGATTTTTTTTTAAGATTAAAGATTTTAAATTTTAAATGTTTTAACGTATAATAATAATATAAACTGATCTCTTAAAAAATATATTTGTTTGCCATTTTAATTTTTTGTAATTTATTTTTTGAGCTGCTTGCTACCACCAAAGAAAAACAATTTAAATTTAATTTATATAATTATGATATAAAAAATAATAATAATTTGATTTTTTTAGATAATTTATTTTTGTTTATAAAAATTTTATTGCATCTAAATTTTAAAATTAAAATTGTTCGGTATTATAAGCTTTTGTAATTTAATTTTGTTTTTTGCTACCGCCAAGGAAAAAAAAAACGTAAAGGCCAAAGCATTTAATTTATAAATTTGATATAATAATAATACTATAGTTGCTTTCTTTTAAAACTTATTTTTATACTAATTTTAAACTTATATTGGAGCTCGGCACATTTTAAAAAAACGTAAAAGTTTTTTTTCGGTTTGAATTCGTATTATGAAATTTTTGATTATAAATTACTTTATCGCAAAACTTTACTTTCTGCTTAACCTTTGACTGAGTCTAGCTTAAAATTTTAATTTTTTAAAAAAAAATTGAAAGTCAGAATTCATCTTAAAAAAAGAAATTATATACTACTAAACTGCATACACCACTTTAAATTTATAATGAAGTTTAAAAAAATACATTTTTAATTTCCGGAATTAATTTTATTCCTTTAATATAAATTTGGATCTTCTAAAATAAAAAAATCAGAATTAATTATTATTAGAAGTTTAAAATTTGCTAAACTGCTTACATCTTGAGTTCATAAGATTAAAAATTACGAATCAAAATTAATTTATACAATAATACTTTTGCGTAGAACAACACATTTTTCAAAGTAATTGTAAATTTTTAAATTAGAAATCAGGTCAGAATTATTTACTAATAGCAGGTTTTCTTATTATAAAATCGCCAAATTTAATGAATTTAGGCAATTACAATCGTAAATGGAGTTTTTTATTATAATAAAGTTTTAATTTTTTTATAAACTGGTTTGTATGCAACTGTGGAAAAAATTTAATTTATATTGAAAACTAATTAATTTGCATCAGGAAAAAAAAATGATGTAAATTAATAACGACTTCTCTAATTAGTTTAATAGCAGTTCCAAATTTATACTTTTTTTGATTAAAAAAAACCATAATTATACGCAAACGCTATAAAAAATTTAAAAATTTACTAATTTTTACTGACCCAAGCAAACTTTTGCGATCAGGACTTTTTATTTTTATTATTATTATCATTATTATTATCATTATTATTATTACTATTATTACTATTATTATTATTATAAATATATTAAAAATAAATTATTTTATAATTTTTATATTTATTGTAGATTTATTTCAAATTATTATTATTTTTATTATTTTATAATACTTTTTTTTTAACAATTATTATAAATGTATTGTGAATATTATAATATATATTTGAAGACAGACACGTGGTACAATTATGTGGTTTAATAACTCATGTTGCATGCACCACGTGCCATGAGCACGTGATTTTTCAGAGTGAACTTCATCAATTACGTTATACAGTAAAAACCATATATTAAAAATTTATTAAATTTATTTATTATACACTTTTCTAAGTATTTATATGATTATTCTTTTTATTATTTATATTAATTAATAACTTTTTATAATAATTATAGATTTTATATATAAATATTTATTATAAATAATATATTTGTTATAATTACTATTTTTTACTGTAATATTTATATAATTTTTTTTTAAATAAATATTATTTAATACTTTCTTCATAAAATTTTATAAATCACTTTTAATATTAATTAAGAGTAATATATATTTTTATTATTATTACTAATTTTTATTATAATATTATTATGCAATTATCCCATTTCCTTATAAAAATAAAAAAATAAACTTCCTTTTATTTAGAATTTGCCTTTTTTTTTTTCTATAATTTATAATATTATTTATTTTTTTTAATATATATTATATAAAAGTGCAACGATATTATTAACACTATTATGGAAAACTATCCTAAAAAGAAATCTGATCTTCTAGTGAGTTCCATTATTATAGAAAAAAATTTTAATTTTTTTTAATAAAAAAAATTAAAGGAAGAAACTGGCGTTGAAACTGACGAACTTGCTGGAGTTGATATAGCTAATGGCGCTTAATTTATTTTTTTTACTATTTAATATATATAAGTTTATTACATTAAATAAAAACATAATAATGCTCTAGTTCAGATTTATATATAACTATACATTTCGCTTTATGACTGAATCAGAAATATGGGAGTTTCAGATTACCTCTTTAAATTATATGATCTCTTAATTATAACTTACTTTCTTCAACTTTCGAATTTTATATTATTTTAACATTTATGTTAAGCCCTTGCTTTAATTTTCAATTAAAAAATCTTATTCATAAATAAAAGTTATATTACTGTTTACAAAGTTGAAAAGTATTTCTGGTAGATTTAAATTCTTAATTTACTTTTTAAAATTAAGTCAACCCAACGAATTTAATTTTTTTTAAATATATATGTACCTTTTTCTCACAAAGAGATATATAAAAGCTCCTGAATATAGAAAAAATATTTATATATAAGAAAAGATATTATGCAGACAAATTTACGGAAGCAAAAGGTTTGTTTTAATAAAATATTATTACACAGTAAAAAATCTTAAGCTTTTTCTTAAATTTTCCAATAATTATTATTACAATTTATTAAACTATAATATATTACTATTTAAAAGCTTAAAAAAATCTTTTTCAAGTTTATACGTGCTAAATTTATTTAAAAAAAATAGTGTAAAAGTATATATTTAAGTTTTAGTTTGAAATTCCTAGAAAATTTGTAAAATTTTCTTAGAGAATTTATACAAAAATTGCAGACAGTTTTTATTGGGTTGCCGTTGACAATCATAGATGGTCTTATTTGGAAATTATAGAGAAAGGAAATTAATTTACTAATAAATGAGTTTAAATCAATATACTAAACTAGATAAAAATAAGTTTAGACCGTTTTTAAAGCTCTTACGGTAATAAAAATAGTGAAAATTTTACTATTTTTTAAAAACTATAATAAAATAAACTTCTATTTTTAAAAGTAACTCTAAAATTGGTAAAATATTAGCGAATGTAGTTTTAGTAAAATTCAAGTTATAAATTTTGCTATATAAACCTTTTTGTTAAAAAACATCTTAAAAATAACGATTTCAAATATTGTAATTTATTATTTTTTTTAATTAAAAATAGAAGAAAAATTTTCTTTCATTCCAAGTAATGAAACCTTAACTGTAACTTAATTTCTCTTTAATTTTTTAAAGTAAATTACTTTAATCCATAAGCAGATTTTGGTTTGAAAAAAATAACTATCAGCGATAGATTTGTCTGTTTGTTATTTCTAAAATGGCAGCATCGGGGGTACTGGCTATAAAAACGTAGATATATTCATACCCAAGGCAGGAATAAATGTAAAAATAAATTTATTATTTAGCACGATAACTAGGCCGCCCCTCTATAGCACAACACGTTCCACGCAGGAAACCAAGGGCAGAAAAAATCAAATTCCTTCCTACGGGGGCGCACTATCTCATCCGTGGCATGCTAATTAATGAACACACGTGGCTTACAGTTAAGTTTAAAAGTCAAAGATTTAAATAAAACACTTTTGAGCGCAATGGCTTTTGCCATCAACCTCTACAAAAGAAAAGTTTCTGTTAGCGAACGCGAAACTTAAAAAAAGCTTTCATTAATTTATTTTTTTTTCTTGTTGCAAGTAGTTTTTAAGCTTAGCTACAACTCCTGTAATAAATACCATTGTGCGATAAAAGAGAAAAGGTTTATCAAATTGCTTAGCATTCTCGAAAAATAGTTTTGAGGGTGAAAGCTATTTATAAAATAAGTTAAAATTATCTTTATATATATCACTCTCGATACACTGGAATCAGTCTACTTAATAAATCGCTGTGATACTAATAAAAGGAATATACACGTAAAAGTGGTGTATAATTTTTAATAGCCAAAGTAAATTGCTTAAAAAAGCTGTTTTTTTAACAAAACCCCATATAAATTTAGCCGACAACGAATAAACATAAACTTTTTTTACAATTAAAAAGGATATATATTTTTTGATAAACTTATACTACAGTGCAATTTCTAGTATTACATAAGATTAAAGCTGTAATACTGAAATCTGCCACAGATATTTGGTTTTAGCATTTTGCATATTTCTCAAGTTAGAAAAATTTAAAAATATATATACCTTATTATTTTTTTCTATTTTTTTTTAAAAAAAAAATTTTTTAAATAATAAGGCAATTATTCGACAATATATATTACTTTTAAACTTGTGGAGAACACAGCGACACTAAGGCAAGCTCACAATTTTGTTATTTTTGCTTCCCAGGAGGGTAAAAATGTTTTTTATATACTAAATTATATTAGTTAAATTTTATTATCCATATATTACTAGTTCTTGTGAATCTGACCCTAAAAAATCAACACTGTAAAAAGTTTAAATTAAAAAATAGTTCATTCAATATATACATAAATTATTATTAAAATAAATTATTTTTCTAATAATAAATGTAATTCATAAATATATTTATTCATTATTATTTTTATAGATAGTTATTACAATATAGACATTTTTTCTATATTTACCATTTTTATTATGAATTGCTTATTATATTTTTTTTAAAAAATAGTATATTAGCATATTTCTTCTATAATTATTATTACTAATAAGATAAAATAAAAAATATATTCATATTAAATAGATATTACTTGTTAATCTTAATTATGATTAATAAATGTTTTTAAAACATATTTAGATTCGCGTACACAATCTTTTTAAATTTTGTTACACGTGCTATATGGTGTGCGCGTTGCGCTCTTTTGTTCTGTCGTGGTAGTTGTTACTGTTTGCCCAGTGGCAAGCGAGCTACTCAGGCAACTCGAGCGCAATAATGTAAATTATTGCAGCTCTTTATGACATTAATTCTATATTAAAATTTTTTTAAGATAATATATCCTTTATCACTCCCTTTTTCTATAATATATTGGCTCTTAAATTTTTTACGACTGTAAGATCTACACAAGAGAAGAATAAAAATTAGATGAGTGCTGCAATTATTATTTTCATTCCAGTTTACTTTTTTGACTCCTTTCGTCTTTGGGCGGCGCATTTTTATAAGGAATGCAAAAAATAAAACAGAAATGATGGGGAATAAAAGTCACTTTTCGTCATCAATAATCTTTCCGTATATATTTAATTAATAAACCATAAAGGTTAAATCCAACTACTTTTTAAAGTCATCCTTACGTTTACTATTAAGAATTTTATTACTTATATATATGAACATTATGTTATAATTTGTAGGTAACAGAATAATTTGTATTTTAGAATTGCATTGTATTACAACCTCCCTTAAAAATATTCTGCTTATTTCCTCAAGTTATTTACTTCTTCTACCGCGATTAACAAATATATTGAACTTCTTAACTTACAATTTTAAAAAACCGTTCTAATTAAATGCATTCTTGTAGTTGTACCAAAATTCTTTCGTGTATTCTACGTATGCAACTAAAAATTAGTTTTCTTATATTATCTATTACGTTATAAATGAAAAGAATCCTAAGTTTTGCCAAAAGGGTAAAAGTAGTATTGTATTATTTTAAAAGTTGGCTTGTTACATTATTTACTATTACATTAAGCGATTCTTACTGAGCCAATGCGCTTTCAACGTAAAAGGAACTACTTTATAATCTCAGCAAAATAGGACACATATATGAAAGTTAACTAAAACATAATTAAGAATTGCACAAAAAACCAAACGAAATATTTTTACACATTAAATGGATATATATTTTATATAAACCAAATTATCTTTTGTAATATGCCAGGAGTAAGTTACCTATACATATACGAAATTTATTTTAATTTATAAAAGATATTAATACAGATTGCAAACCGGAACAAAAACCGTCTCCTTGTAAGAAATATTTAATTTTTATATTTGAGATGTATATATAATTACTTCATATATAGAGTACTATTTCTTTTATTATTTTATTATAATTATCAATACTAAATGTATTTATATACAATATATTATCATACAATTTTTAAATCTCTTGTAAAAATAAACCACGCAGTTGTATTTGTTACAAGAGGATATGAACGTTATTTTTTTTAATAATTAATCAATAAAACATATTATAAATACCATGGACAAGGACCTCTTACAATCTCTCCTGTTTTCTTGATACATTTTACTTTATATTTTAATACTTATCATAGATTTCTAATACTAGTTTGTTTGTTTGCTTATTTTTTGTTATTTAAAACAAATGCATCATCGCTAAATCTGATCATCCTTAAGAGTATTAACATGTTTATATATTTAAAGGCAAATCTCTTATAATAAATTGGTAAACTTTTGCTCTTCAGTTGTTGGCCTCTTGTCCCTTGCGTCTGCGTTTGCAGATACCCTCAGTCGGTTTTAAAGTTTGCGTACCGTCAGACAGTTAAATTTTGTTTTTTTCTCACAACTTCTGCAAATTTACCCCATGTGAATAGTAAGCGGTGTTAAGTTTTTAGTTAGTTAACCTTGACATTATATAGCTCTTTAAAGTTAGCTTTTTTAAGCAGTATACCATCGAAACTCGTAGTTTTTCTTTATTTGGGGTTGGGAGTTTTGCATCCGCAATTGGCTTTTGTTGCATTGTGATAGATTTTTTAAGGTAAGCTGCAACTAATATGAACACCTGCTGAGACGGTGTTTATTATCGTTAGGCTTTTATTTAAATGAACGAACTTCCAGTGAGCCAGCAATCGTCTCTAAAAATTTAAAAGCCGTAGACTTTGGGCCTCCAGAAAAAATGGGTGGGCAATGTTTAATGCCCTAACCTTAGTAGGTCTGATAACCTTGTTAATTCCCTTAGGAAATTGTTTTTGGACTAAAAAGATTTTCTATTTTTGTCAGCCAACTTTGGTTAAATTAAGTTTCTATTCTCCTCCAAACTGGGAATTTGCTTTGGAATTCTGCCTTCTTTAAATAAGCAAGTTTACATAGTCTGGTAGATTCCAATATTGAGCAAGAGCCAGGTCTAAGTCAAAAATTTTTCTAGAGGGAGTGCACCATGGTCTATATATTTAGATTCTCCTAAAATGTTAACCGACCAGTTAACTTTTTAATACAAGTACGCGGGGCCGTAGTATCTCCCATCTTCTTAAGAGCGGGGTTTGTGGTCAGAGGAGAGGTCAATCAGCGTTTTGAGAGTGACTGTTATGTATACATTCTTTAGTTTAAATGGTGAACTATTAAACCCTTTATCATCGTCTAGTTTGGCAAACTTCCTTATAATAGTGTTGTCATGCTTGCTATATAGGAGGGTTATAAAATACTTTTATATGTACATATTCTACAAAAACTAATGCGCACCAAAAACGGCCAGGAGGATAAACCGAGAGGAACGCAAGGGAAAGGAAATGGTTATTTAATAGGCTACATTTGGTGTGTATTTATAGTACTTTTAAAAAAATTAGGTTAATACGCATAATAAATTGGTAGGAGTGGAAGGTAAATAGGATAGTATAACCTCACAAATGAAATTTCCCAACCGGAGGAGCCAAGAGTATCCACAGTAATACTAAACTCTAAAAATAGTAAAGCTAGTTAAAAATATATAAAGTGTAAAAAGGTGACACAAAACCTCACTCTCACGTCTGCCCGTCTTTACTGTGTCAGGCGTAAACAAAAAAAAAAAGCTAGCAAAAAATCCGGACATGGTCATTTACGGATTGGCCAAAATTTACAGTTATGGTTGAAGTCGTTATCGTATGACCCTCCTTCTCACCAACTTTTTTTATATTAGATGAAGCAATTAATAGTTTGAGGGCACACTGACGGCTACCCATTCTGTCGTGACAATCAGCCCTACTGCCCTGGTCGTCTACGAATATTTTAAAAAATATTATTCGTAAACACCTGGCCGCGGTTACGTGAGCTTTAACGACAAACCGATGCTAAACCCACTACACAAACAGAAAAATTACTATTAAAAGCAATTTTTATAAATCTAATTGACAGCTATCTATTTTGGTTGGTTTAGAGAATCCGTGTTTTAAGCATATGTCCGCAAAAGCTTCCCGAACGAAAGGCATTTGGCTCCGATGGCATTAATGAGATGCTGGAGAAAATGCCATTTATAACGACGACCTTTGGCACCTTTTCAACACTATGGGAGACGGCGACTGCGTCCAGTGACCAGCAGATACCTGTCAAAGGCCGCCTGTCCGCGCACCGTTTTGTGTGGTCGTTGACGCCCTTGTTGGAGTTCCTGATTGGATTTCGTTAAGGGTGCTTAACCGGTTAGCTGCTTCTCTGCCTGACAGAATGGAATTACGTCTTAAACTTTCAGAAGGTAACAGGCGCCAACTTCCTGTCACTATAATTAAGTGGCCTAAAAAACCGGCCCTATATTGAAACGCAGGCTAATAGAATTTTAAGGCAAGGTTAAATACGCGACTATCAAAGACCGAAAAAGTGGGCGGCCTTGGTGGGGCTCGGACCCACGGCCTTGCGTTTTGCGCGTCAATAGGATTTACCGCTGAGATCTGCCGACAACTCTCAGTAGCGATATAACGGTTTTACGTATTTAACCTTTTACAGGTCAACCGGTTGTTGTCGGTTAGGAGTAAATATTAATGCAGAAAAAAGTAGATCAATCCTCATTAAAAAAAAAAAAGGAAACGCTCAACCTCCGGCTCTAACCTTCGAGGCTGTTAAAATCTCGAGCAAAAACTTGGGCGTCATCATTGGGGGGTAACATGTAAAATTTGTATGGTCAAGCTCAAAGCGGTAATCCACGTAATCTGCCTGCTTCTAAGTGCAAAAAGCACAGCGTCTCTGAGCAATAAACTACATCTCTGTAAAGTGTTCGTGCGCCTTATTAAGACCTACGCATTTGTTGCATAAACATACGAAAAACCATCGATAATTGCCTGCAAACGCAACAAAACAATTACTGTTTTAAACATGTTAGAGGACATCTAAATCACCAGGTGGGCTTAGAAACTTAGGCATTACGCACGAGCCCTGCATGAGCGCAAGTTATTAAACTGGAGCATAATAGAAACTTATATATATATAACTACAAAATACTAATAAAATTAAATGAAATAAAAATCATGAGAAAACTTAATTAGATAAACCAAAGCAGTTTTTTTTCAAGTTGAATATATTATTTAATCTAAAATCTAGATAGTTAGATATTAATATAAGTTCTTGTTCTAATAAAATATATTGAATTTTTAATAAATTAATTATGTAAATATTGTACACGCTTCCGAAACTCCCCCGTGATGCCCTTCCAGTATACACAATGTTTTGTAAACTTCTTCGCATATATATATATATAATATCGATGATTGCGAAAACTGGAAACGAACTATACAAAATAATTTAAGTCATTAACAATATTAAGCAGTCTGCGCTCGATTTTACCGAGCATCTGTACAATAATTAACTAATTACAAAAAAAACATCCAACTTTCTACGAGGGTTTTATATATTTTGCATTTACAGTTTTTCGTCAAACTTTTTATTGAAAAAAAATAATACTCCCCGTTGCTTTAAGATAATAAAAATTAATGAGTGTTCAAAATATCAATGAAACAGGAAAAAACTTAATGGAAAAGGAAAGTGAAGGTTGGATAGTAGTTTTTTTTTAATTTTAAAAAGCAGATTCATTTTTATTATTATTTTTTAAATAGAAGAATCAATTTTTATTGATCCCGAAGATCTCGAACTCGATCTCACTCACGCTAAATTGGAAAAGATAGAAGGCTTTGAAAGTATGAAAAAGTTGGAGGTCTTTTAAAAATCTTTTCTATACTTTTTTTATGTACAGAAAGTTATAAATTTAATTATATTATTTATCATAATTAAAAAGGGCAATAATAATTCTTGCGATTTTATATTTTTTTTATTTTCTTATAATATATTATTAAATATTATAAAAAGTTTATTTTAATATTTACTTTAAATTTATAAGAAATTATGTCTTCGAAGAAATCGAATTGCAGTTTTAGAAAATCTTGAACATCACCCAAATCTAAAAGAACTTGACCTCTACGATAATATCTTAACGGAAATAAAAGGATTGGATTCTCATATATTTTTAGAGTCTTTAGTTTTTTAACTAAATTTTTGTTATTTTTATAAAAATTAATTAACTTTGTTTCAGTAATTGATTATTTTTTTTTAACTTTATTATAAAATTATAATAAAATAAATTTTGAGTTCTTACCGTAAAATTTTTAAAAATTTAATTACAATTGTTTTTATTTCAATAATTTGTTATTTATTTTAAGTTTTTTTATAAATTTATAACGAAAAAAATTTTGAGTTTTTATTTTAAAAATCTATAAAAATTATATATATTTATTACTTAATTAACATTTTTATAAATCTATAGCAATTTTTTTTATAATTAAAATTTACTTAATTTTAATTAAAATAATTTTTTTTAAACTAATTTAAATAAATTAAATTGTATTAACTAGGAAATTGGATCTCTCTTTTAATGCTATTCAAAGTGTACAAAATATGTTCGGCTTATCATCTTTGACTCAAGTAGATTTTATATTTTAAGATATAATAAAAATTTTATAACTTGTTTTTTTAAAAAATTTAAAATTTTTATTATTAAACAATTTTAATTATTTCAACTTTTTTAATTTTTTTAATTTAATTTTCATAATTTTTTAATTTTTCTTTAATTTTTTTTTATAATTTTTAACGAAAACACTAATTTATAAAATTATTGTAATTAAGTTTTATTATGTATTAAGTAAATATTATAAAATTTTTCTTATAAAATTTTTCTTAATTTATTATTTCGTTGTCTTTTATTTTTTCTTTTTAAAAAACTATTTGATTTTACTTTAATTATTTTAACTGAAATTAAATTTTTATATAAGTTTTCTCATTTATTTTTTAATTTTTTTTTATGTTATGAAATTTCATAAATTTTTGAACTTTTTTTAATCAAAACATTTGGACCCTTTTTTAAAATTATTTTATAAATTTTTTTAAGTAATTTTTTTTTAATTTTATTGTTTTAAATTTATTAACCAAAACTTGTTATTTGTTATTTAATTTTATTTATATAAGAATTTTTATTAAGTATTAAATTTTGTTAGTTTTTTGAATTATTTAAGTTAAATTCTTAAATTCATTATTTTTTATTTTTGGTTTAAAATTTTTATCTTATAAAATTGTAATAATTTTATATTAACTGATTATTAAGTTTATTAACTTTTATTAAAGTTTCTTTTATTTTAAAAATTTCAGACAAATTTATATTTTTATTTATTTTTAATTGTATATATTATTAATTATAAAAGTTTTTTCAACTAAAAGTTTGTTTTAAATTTTTTTTATATCTTCAAAATTAATAATAATTAATGTAATTTTTACTTAAGTTTTATTTAAAACCAAAAAACTTTTAGATTTATTTTTTTTTAATATTTCTTTGTTATAAATTATTTTTATATATAAAAAAAATTTAACTTTTTCTAATAATAAATAAATTATTGCTTTTTTAATAATTTATTTCTCCTTCAGCTCTATTTAGTAAGCAATAAAATTTCGAAGATTGAAAATCTTGAAAAGCTAACAAATTTAAAAGTTCTTGAACTCGGCTCGAATAAAATTAAAGTTTTCGTTATAATATTTTAATTTTTTTTTTTCAAAATAGTAAAGTTAAAATTGGGATTCAACTAATTGTTTTACGTTAAGTTTCATTTATTTATATTTTTACTAAATAACAAAATTACAAAAAAAAAATTAAAATTTTTTTTATATCTAAAATTTTTATATGAAAAATTAATTTTTTAGTATAAAATAATAATAAAAGTTTTGTTTTTATCTATAATAAAATTATTATTTTAATAATTTTTATATTAAAAATTTTTTTATAAAAAGAAATTTTTTTTACGAAATAATATTTTTTTATAATAAAACTATTATTTTTAAATTTTTATATTAAAAATTGTTTATAAAAAAATATTTGTTGGTTATAAAATAATAATGAAAGTTTTTTGTTATAATAATAATATATTAAATTATTTTAAAATCTATTTTTTATTGTATGAAGTTTATAAAAAATATTTTTATAAATTTTATTATATATACATATTTTGCCTTTTTTATTTAAAAAAATAATATAAAATATTATTTTATTAATAATATTATTAACATAAACGAAATAAATATTTGAAATATTTATTATAAAAAGTTATTATTTTAAAAATATTTTATTTTTTATGAGAAGTTTCCTATTTTATAGAAAAAATTTTATTTACTTTTTTTTTTTTTATAAATTTTATTATAATAAAAGTTTTGAATGTTTTATTAATATTATTTCTTATTCCAAAAAAGACTTTTGAAGATTTTTTATGTTTTTTTTATAATTTTTAATAAAAGATTTAGAAATTTATATATGTAAAAATATTGTTATTATGTTATTATTAATAAATATTTTGAAGATAATATTTTATTATTATTTTTTTATAAGAAAATTGAAAATCTGGAAAGTCTTGAAAATTTAACGAGTTTGTTTCTCGGAAAAAATAAAATATCCAAAATTGAAGTAAATTTTACTATTATTATTAATTTTTGCTTTTTTATGTTTTATTGAAAATATATAGTTTACTTAATACTATTATTATATATTTTTTTTAATGTTAAATATATCAAGTTTACTTAATATTTATATTACTATATATATTTTTTATTCTGAATCTAAAAAAGTTTGCTTGTTATTATTATTTATGAAAGGTTTATTTATCAATAATTTATATTATTACTGACTTTTATATACTTTTGTTTTAATATAAAAAGTTTACTTATCATTATTATTACTCATTGATTTTTATATACTTTGTTTTTAATATTAAAAGTTTACCTATTATTTTTATTATTTATTGAATTTTATTTATTTTTTAATATGAAAACTTACATGTTATTATTATTATAATTATTCTTACTATAATGAAATACTTATTATTATTTAGTGAAGAATTTTATATATTTTTGTTATTAATAAAAATAATTTACTTATTAGATTATTATTTTTAAAATTATAAATTTTTATTTTTGATATAAAAGTTTACTTGTTACTTTTTTATTATTACTGAAATATATATTTTTTTATTTTTAATAAAAGTTTACTTATTATTTCTATTATTATTGATTAATTTTTTTTTTTGGTATGAAAAGTTTACTTTCTATAACTTTTATTATTACTGGATTTTATATATTTTTATTTTTATTATAAAAAGTTTTACTTACTATTATTTTTTGATATTTTTTATATATTTATTTTTCTTTCTCTACATTTTTTATTGCAATTATTATTATTACAACATTTTTTAGGGACTTTCGTCTCTTAAAAAGTTGAAAGTTTTGAGCTTGCAGGTTTTTTTTTCACTTTACTATTATCATTTATTATTTCTAAATAAAAAATTATATAATTTTTTAAAACTATTTTTATTTTAAATATATATATATATATTTATTATAAGAAATGCTTAAATTTATATAAATTTTTACAAAAGAAACTACTTTTTTGCTTTCGGATTTATAAAAAATTAATTTTTTTTTTAATTTTACTTTTTTTAGTAATTTTTTATTTGTATTACATTTTTAGTAATAATTAAAATCTTTGTAATATGTAAAGTATAATAATATCTATTATAAATAAAAATGATAAAATATAACTAAAAATAGTATAATAAAAATAATATAATCAAAAAAGTTAATAACTTTAAAAAATTTAAACTTTAAATATAAAAAATTTTTAATTTAATAAATTTATTTATTAAAAAAGTAATAAAAAGAAAATTAAAAACAACAACTTTTAAACTTTTAATCATAACATTTTTTAATTGTTATAAATTTATGTTTAATAATTTTTATTATTTATTAGTTCAAAATATTCTTATCGCGTAGTTTTTTTGGGTTTCACTATAACGCCTGAGTTATTACTAAAAAAGGAAAAAATGTCGATTCAACAGATTATCTCTCGAGCGAGCGCGTAGTTTTAGGTTGTGTGCTGCTCACATGCATGCATATTAATATGCTGAATATTAATTTACTTGTACCAAAATCTGAACAAAACCATCTTAAACTTTATTAATTTGTAGCAAATTAAAACCACGCTCTAATAAACAGCGTTTTTCCTTATATAGTAATATCCTGGATAATTTGGAATTAATCCGTGCCTATCAGTTTGAATTTTTCGCCCAATGGGGTTGTCTAATTTTTGGTTTCTTTTTTTGGTTAAACTACAAGAAGTTCTGTTTGCGCTTGTGCTTCTTCATTTGGAAAAGCTACCAAATTATTGTTAAATTGGCTTTCGCACGTTAAATGTACGTAATTTTAAAATTAAACTTTTGATTGGGTGCGCATTTATCTGTAACTTTTTATTAGAGCTCATTAATTGCTCATAGTATATTTATTAATTATTTATATTTTGTTTTTTATTTTTTATTTTTATTTTTTTATTACTTATTTTTTTAGTATTTATATTTTTATATACTAACTTTTTATGATTTCTTAAATAAAAAAATTAATTTCTTTTTTTTACTTTTTCAGTTAAAAATAAAAATTAAATATTAATCAAGTTATTTTATCAAAAATTTATTATAAAAAAGTTATTACTTTAGTAAATTCACTCTCAACAAATCGTTTAGGCGTAACATGCAGTTTTGTACCTAATTTTTTTGAATCCTTTTCTTATACAGAAATTCCTTGACGGCGCTTCATTTAAACTAAAAATTTAATGAAAATTACTTAAATCAGTGCTTTTTGCTTCACTATTTTTATATCTAACTATTTTCAAATTTCGCAAACAGTCAATTTTATATATATTTGTGCCTTATAGGCAACTTAGGATTATGTAGCAAATAGGATATTATTAATAGTATTAATAAATATCCGTTTTCTTCTGTAAATAAATATATATTTGTAAGACTTTTTATTATAGAAAAATTTTCTACAAGAATTAACAAAATATATTTTTCAATATTAAAGTTTATAATTTTTAAGTACTTAATAAAAAAATTTTTCTTTACAAATTAATTATATCGATAAAGTTTTTAAATTTTTTAAAAAAAATTCATTGTAACCTTTTATATTTATTAACAAAATGTTTACTAATTTTAAATTATACAGAAATAAATATTAATATTTTCTCTTGAAGTTTATAATTTTAAGTGTTTTATAAAATTTTTATTTTTTTTGTTAAATAAATATTTATTTTTATTGTTAATAGGCCTTTTAAACATTAAAAAAAAAAAGAATTATTAAACTTACTAAGTTTATTTATTATAATAAAAATTTATAAATTTATTTATCCAATATTTAATAATTTTTAGTGTTTTGAAAAAATTTTTAAACAAGAATTAATTTTATATAAATTTTTTCTATTAAAGTTTTTAATTTTATCTCAAAATTTATTATTTTTTATGTTATCAAAATCTTTTATAAAAATTTTATAAATTTTTACAATAACAGAATCATTTCTATTGCTTTAAAAAATAAACAATAAAAAAATATAGTATTTTACTTATTTTATAATACTTTTAATATATAATTTTTAAAAAAGTATTCAAATTATTAAAAAAAATTTGAGTTTATTAAATTATTTATTCAATATTTAATAATATTTATTAAATTTGTAAATTCTTAAAAAAAGTTTTTAGAAAATTTTATAAACTAAAATATAATTATTTATTAAATTAAAAATCAATTTTTTATGAAAAAAATATTAATAGAAAAAATGTATTAATAAAAAATTTAATTTTATAAAGTTTTTATATCTAATAATTTAACTTTAACATAAAATTAAATATAATAATTTTTTTTTTGCTTTTATTATTATAAATTTTAATTTTTTTTAAAATGTGTATAAAAAAATTTATTTAAATTATTTAATTGCTATATTTAATAATTATAAAAATTTTTTAAAAATATTAAATTTGTAAAATTATTTATTTAACGTTTGAACAATTTAATTTATATAAAATAATTTTTTGGCTTTTATTATAAATTTTTATATATTTTAAAAATTTATAAAAAAGAATAAATTTTATAAAAATGTATAAAGAATTCCAAAGTAAAATTATTTATTTGCTTTATTAACTATTAATAATAACTTTTTTTTAAAAAACTTTTAAATTGTTAATAAAAAATTTAAAATTTTATAAAATTATTATTTAATGTTTTTATTTTTGTTCAAATATTAAAAAAATATTTATTATTTCATATTATTACATTTATTATTTCTTTTATATAATTTTCAGAGTAACCGCATTACAAACATTGAAGGTTTGGAAAACTTAAAAGAACTTGAAGAACTTTATATAAGCCATAACAGAATTGAAAAAATTAAGAACCTTTCGGCTAACGTACTATAATAAAAAAATATATAAACAATAGTAATAAGTAAATAAATTACCACTAATTATAAATAATAATGAAAAATATAAAAATAATAATAAATATAAGATTTTTTAAAAAATATATGAACGATAATAATAAGTTTATTATAAATTCAAAATTTATAATAAACTTTGTACGTTTGAGGAATTTTTTTTTTTTACTAAAAATATATTAAAATATTATTATAAATATAAAAGTACTTTAAAAGTTTTATATAATTAAATAACTAAAGAAATAATAATATTAAAAGTACTATTAAAACTTATAAGCTTTTTAAGTATAACGTTATAGTATGTTTTTTTAATAAAGTAAAAGTTAATAGTTTTATTTAAAATAATAATAGTAAGTAAAAAAAAGAAATAATAATTATAATATCGAACTTAACACTATATTAAAGTTTTACTGAAAAAAATAAATAATAATTAATAAAGGGAACTTTAAAAAAACAAACGGAATAATGATAATAATAATAATGAAAGCAAAATTATATTGTAAGTTTCATATATAAGGTGAAAAAGTTTTATTGAAAAAATTAATAGTTAATGAAAGAAAATATTTAAACAAACGGAATAATAATAATAATCAATAGGAGGATTTGAAGGTACTTGACGTAGCCAATAATAAGATTTCCCGCCTTGAAAATTTGCATCATCTTATATATTTAGAAGAGTTTTGGGTAACTTTTTTGTGAATATTTTATTATTGTTTATATATTTTTATAATAATAAAAGTTTTATTAGATATTAAAGTCTTTCAAAAACTTTATTATTATTATTAAAATATGTTGGGTTTAAAATTTTGTCATTAAAAGAGTTGATTATCTATTGAACGGCCCCAGCAATGCATAAGCAACTAAATCCTTTTTAGATATTTCATTATGCTAAATTTATTAAATTTTATAAAGCCCATTGTGGAGGATACAAACTGTCTACGAAAAGTTTATTATAAAAGTATTATAATTTTTTATTAAAATGCTAGTTAACGCCTAAAATTGTAAAAATTAAATTTTTTCTGAAGGCAACAAAAAGGTTTATTTTTCACTAAAATTTTTGCTTACCACCTTTTTTTAAAGTTTTTAAGTTTATATGTGCGACTTTCATTCTTTCTCTTAATACTATTTCCGTCTTAAAAAATAATATTAATAAGTGCATGACAGTTTTGTTTTAAGCAACTTGTAGCTAAAGAAATATATTCTAAAAACTTCCATTAAAAAATTACTTTTATATTTCTTAAATTTTTTAAAAAAAGTTTCTTATAAAAGTAAACTTGTTAAAGGTTTGATAATTATTTTATTATAATTAATGAATATTGCTTTTTTTTAAAATTCCATAAAGTCAATATATAGTAGTTTTGACCTTCATTAGATTTCTTGATACTATTTTTGATAATTCTGATAAGCAACTTGAAACTAAAAAAAGTTTATTTATAAATTTTTCATTGCTTTAAAATATTAATGAAGTTTTACTATTAATGAAAATTTTTTTTGGTCTTAAAACTTATTTGTTTTTAAAAAATATTTTTTTATAAAAAAGTTAAATTTTTAGGCGTTTCAATAAAAATGTGGAATTTATTTTTTCAATAAATATAGAAAATTTATTAGTAATAATATTATTTTAATAAAAGTTTTTGAATTTTCATTAAAATTTCCGATCTTTCACAGTGTCTTTCTCCAGTCATAACGCAATTACTACTACCCCTACCAATATTTATTATTCACAAACACTATTTATTAGCAGTGATAAAATTCTTTTTTTCAATTATTATAGTGCAGAAGTTTGCCAATAAACAAAAAGTTTTTGTAAACTTTTATTAATTTTCTAAATTGACTAATAAACTTTTTTTGGATATTTCTGTGACTCAAATTTGTTCTTTTTTGGTTGTTTTTTGTACCTTTTTATTGTTTAACTCTTGCTTCTCATATTCATTAAAAGTTGTGATTAATTTTTAATTTACATTACTTATTAATTTAGTGTAACGACAATTATGTTAGCCAATGGGACGACCTGGAAGAGTTTAAAAATTGCAATTGTTTAAAGACAATTTATTTAGAGAGAAATCCGCTTGCGAATGTTTTATTATTATTAATATTTATTATTATTATTATTGTAATTATTACTATTATAATATTCTTATGTCTTTGTATTATTATTATACTGTTCGGTGTTTCTTGTTTGAATTATGGATAAAAAGTTTATAATATCTACTTTTTAGTTTATTAGAAAACCAAATTAATCTTTTCCTTAAAAATAATTATCGTTATTATAATATAATATACTTATTAACTTTTTTATTTGTATAATAAAGATTTACATTAATATTGTTTTGTATATCGTTTTTTTTAATTATATATATATACTATTAGCTTACTATTTTTTTTTGTAATACTTCTATTCATATTTCTTATTATACACAATTTCTAAAAAGGATGTGCAGTATAGGCCACGTCTGCGAAGGTACGTTCCATCTTTGACGCAAATCGACGCTACCTTGTGCGTCACGAATCTCAATATTATTGCATAATAAAATTATTTAAAGTAAATTTTTATTCTTTATTTGTTTAGTTTCTATAAAAGAGTAATATAAATATTAAAAGAAAAAATTTTTTGTGAACTTTTTAATAAATTTTAGGAAACATTTTTTTATACCGTAATAGATATAAGAATTCACGAATCGGAACTAATTTATTTTTATAAAAGTATTAGTGCTTCTAAAAGTAGTTTATTGCAACTTTTAGAAATGCCTGACGTACATTTTTAATTTCTTATTTTATATCGTGATAAAAGGTAAATAGTAAACTGTGGCTTTGAAGGGTAGGGAGGTTCACCCATTTTTAGCTGACCAATGAGCTCTAAAATTGTTGGGTTGATAAAATTTACATTACTCGACCAATAGTTTTGCTTACCGTTCTTATCTAAATCAGCCATTTCTTAATTTGGTTTGTTTTGTGTCGAGTTAATATATTTTGTCAAATTATATAGTAATTGCTACCAATAAGTCGCATGCACACTACTAAATTATGACATTGATAACTAAAATTATATATACGTTTTTCTTAAGGAAAACGACTTCCTTGATTTCTTTCTTCTTCAGGGTTAGCGGGTGAACCGCTGTCCCGCCTGTAATAAAGTTATTTCACGTTTTATTGTGTTATCACTATCACTTGTGAGGATGATCATAACACTTACCTAATCGGTATTATAGAGAACAAATAGTAATCAAGCGGTAAAATATATATTGTTGTTAGTACTTATAAATATTTATTTGAAGTTCAAAAAAGCGATGGAGTATATAACAAACATGAAATCTAAGATGGTCATTCAATTGCAGAAATTATCAACTTACGAACTAAAGTTCATTTGAATTATGTGATTAAAACGAAAATTCTTGATCACGCCCTTGTTACGAGTTAACCCTGATAACTTGCCATCTCCCTCTTATTCTTCGCTACAGCAAAAGAAAAGTTCGTAATTATTTATAACATCCGGATTATGCTAGTTGATAAAGCATCTTTAATGTCAAACGAATATCTTAATATCTTGAAAGGAGGAGCAGTAAAGTTTGTTATTTGTCATTATTAGTAATAATAATTTGTGCAGATGCCCTGTAAAATTAGAGCTGCTTAAGTTTTGCTAAAAAATTTGGTTATTTGTAGTTCATTTCAGGTTTTCGTAATCATTATGTATATCAAGTAAAATAGAGATGAGACGAATATTATGGGTAGATGAGTAGGTACATACAACAGCAGCGTGGATTTTTCAGTCTGTTAGACTACGTGCCTTATTTAAAAAATTTGGATTCTTAGTTCTTTACCAGTCCAAGGTTAAAGTAAAAGCCTCCTTCTCACCTAAGTCTTGACCTCCACTTTGAATTATGCGTCAACCGATTTCTCAATGTATAGATTTACATGACCGATCATTAGTTGATTAAGTAAAACTATTGTTTACAGTAAAGAGTTTTGAAAAACTTGATGGCACTGCAGTAAAAAGCCTAACAGGAAATGTAAAAAAAGCATGGAGTAGGAGCTATTTTAGTATAGGGAATTAACGTGCACTCGGGCGGGTAACTCCCAAACTACTTAGGCCCACCCAAAAATTGACCCATGTAAACTTTCTCTTGTATTAAAAATCTATTAGGATGCTTTTATATCAAATTGAGTATAGAAATTTTTAGTTTACATAAATAAGAAAAATAAAGGGGCCGCTAACGTAGCTGAGAACAAGCCCCTTTAAAATACAGGACAGTACCTTGTAAGCACTCATGGTTCTAGCGGAAGTCTCCTAAAAGACTCTTTTTATAAACTGCTGAGCTAAAAGTATGGAGACTTGATTATGTACTGAAATTGATAAGATAAAATTAGCTATAAAGTAATGCTTTTTGTAAAGTTATTTAACTAACTTTATTACAGTATAAATACCCATAGCAATTTAGCTTGCGCATAAAATCATGTTCCACACCAAACAATCAATAAATACGCAAAAATAAAAGTGGCGCAAACTGGGGGCTAAGCAGTTAGGATTTTTTATATGGAAGTTTAGTATTACTTTCATCCTCTCCTCTGCCTCTACTCAAAAATATGCTATAGTGTATATGTTTTCAGCCTTTAAAATTAATACTAACACATCTATGAATGGTAGAAATCTAGAAATCGGAACTATGTCCCTTATACAACAAAACAACTTCAAGCTTAGAAGTGTACTAACGCATACAGTCCATGAGGCTTAGTTTAAAATGTAAACGAACGGGTGGTTAAAAGACTAGACAACGCAATATTTTAGAAATAGGGTTTTAAAAACTTTAATAATAAGAGAACGGGTGGTTATGCAATTCATTAGCTCGTAAATAATAGTTTTTTTGTATATTTTGTAAAAGCTTCCTTAGCTCTTCCTGGTTAAGTTTTTTTATTGTATTAAAAAATAAAAACATTTGGAATGGCATATGAGATAACCAAAAAAAAAATACTTTTACATCTAGTATTTGATTAATAAGTTAAAAAAAAATTATTTTAAAAAAAAAACATCTTTTAGATGTAACATCTGTAGATGTGTGGCGACTGATACACTTTATCAGACTTGCTGTGTTGGTAACAAGTCACACAAAAACTTTTGTAGAAAAATCTAATTTTGTAGCAGGCTCTGAACGTGCCTCAACATCGCATTAAAATTTATTTCTTTGTGACCGTCTTTTGCTCATTAAATATTTCGCATGCCTTTAGATAGTATGACTTGCTCTATTTTTACGGTACACTATAATTTTCTTTTTAAAACCATCTTGCCATACTCACTACGAATGTTTCATTATTTAAAGTGGTGAGATATTTTATTCTTCAATATATCTGATTTGGTATATATAAAACAACGAACGACTTACTTCCTGCAAGCCTCCAATAAGCGTCTCGTTCCCAAGAAACCTTAAAGGTCATTATATCGTGTTTCAGCATCTGCTATATATTGCGTTATTGCGTTCATGTTTTCCTTTTAATACTCGTAACCATCCAAGCGTGCACTGTATATAGGTTAGTTAAGGATAAATTGCAGAAATCAGAGGATTTTAAAAAAGTGTTACCAAGGATTTTAATAAAATAACATACGCGAGGGAACAGAAAGGGAAAACAAGCTGAACATATATTGAGATTTACTATTGCTTGTTCACTATCTTCTATTAGGTTGACTCACCAAAAAAAATATGACCTGTAGTCCAGTATTTAAATTGTTTTTGGTATAGTTGTTTTCTACAATTGCATGTTTCTCATTTTTATAGACTTGTTCATAATGTAATACTTTTCCGTCAACCATTGAACATTTTCTAATTAAAAAATGTTATAATTTTTAATGAATTATTTTTAGTAAATAAACAAATGTATCCAATCTTTGGAGGTATAATTTCATTATGGTAACTTCTAGTTTAAATTATAATCCACTATAATAAATTTAGCATAAACCTGAGGTTCTAACCGCACTCTTTAAGTGAGCTAGCAAAGAAAGAAATGCAAACATCGAGATAAAATGTGCGTCTATAAAATTTTAATTTTTCTAAAGAGGAACCAAATGTTGCTAAAGGGGATATAATGTCTCCGGGAAGAAAAATATTTAGTTGCGTCAAGAGAAGGTCCTCCGATGAAGTCAATGTTAAGAAACTACTACTGCTTTCTTTTTTTCGGAATTTGAGTAAGTATATTTGCACCCAAAAAAATATTTTTTCGTAACATTTCTAGACGAAGCCCTCAATGTGAAAAGGTTGTAACCTACTGAGAAGCCCGAAAGGGGGTAATGTTTGCTTTAAACTTTTCTCTTAGGTAAGGTACAATCGGAAAAAGACTTTTTTCTTAATAGAGAAAGTTCTATAAAAAGTTGCCTGAAATGAAGTGCTCCTTCAAAATATGTTAGATCAATGTTATTTTGTTAAGATTGTGACATTTGTTTGAAAAAATTGGAAAAAGCGGAACAACGCACTATTTGTAAATCGTTTCTAACTTTGTTCCAATCATATGCCAGTCTCTGTAGAGAAGCTCGGTCTTCATCGCGAAGAAGGGCGCCCCTTTTCAAGAAATGTTAAGTTTAATAAGAGTCGGCAAACCTTCAAGGCTTGAATAAGAGGTTTGTTTGATAGAAAAATATAGGTAGCTATTTGAAGAAAGCATAAATACGATGGTTTTTCGTAAACGAAGGTTCAGTGCCTTAAACAGCATTAAAAGATAATTTTAGGTGAAAAAAGTTTTTTTACAATTAATAAATATTAATGAACACATGACCGTTACCAGAGAAGGCTATTTAAGATTGCAAAAATTTTGATGAGTTTCTTTATTTATGCCCGATGGAAGACGCTTCTTTCCTCTAAATATTAGAAAAAACGCATTGATCGTGATATCAGTGGCCTTCCTACTACAACTCTCATGACGGGCTCGCCGCACTATACCTAATGTATATATTAGGTGATAGTACTATTTAATAACAGTGCCAGTACCATAATAGAACGAGTCTACTATAGTTACTAGCACTATCAAAAAGCGGCGGAGCTAGACGCAACCGAAGAGTAACCCAAGCAGAGAGTACTCCCAGCCCGAAGCGAGCCAAGACTAAAATAAGTGCCAATACTATACAAGAGACAATCTGAAGATCATCAAAGTATGAAAAAGCTCTAAAATCTAATCTATAGTCAAACAAGTTAATCATTTGACCAGACCGCAGCCTTTGGATGAGGGCTAGTGCTATTGTGTTACTCATTACATACGCCTTTCTAAACAAAAGCCTTCGCCCGCAGTTAGTGACTTATAAGTAGTAGCACGGATGTCACTTAGCTGTTTCCGTCAAAAGGTTTTATAATAAACCTAGAGGTTTCCACAGCTCGTATCCATCGACTTTCACAAAGGATTATCTCCGGACGGCAACCGTAGTATACATCGCGTTGGATAATAAAGTATTTTCACCCAATAGGTTAGCAGCCTTGCTATATTATGCTAAACTCATAAGTCGAAGCTAGTACTTGATCTGGTTAACTAACCAAAACTAATTAAGTATAAACAAGTTAGAGGTAATAGTAATAGTTTATCTGCTACAGGTAAGCTAGAACCTGCCTAAATGAACCTATTTGCTACGTTGTTTTTACCAATTTTAAGAGCATGTGTTTCCACACGTAGTAATAAGCCTACGTCCCTCTAAAGTAGTATGCAGACCTCTACCTGTATCAACAAAGCAAGGCAACCATATTCGTAAAGATTGTTTGATGAGCATTCCTGCAAGGTCCGAGTACTATCTTTTCGTCTAAGCTTACAGGACCCAACCATCATAGAGGGTTGCTAGACACCACAAATATCTTATTAAGTGTACACCCTCATACTAATCCATCTTTGGATGGCACCCCATTGTTTTAATTCTATGTCAAACACGTACCATGAGACGCCGGGAATAACAAACGCAGCAACCGCGCATAGATAGGATCAATCTTTTTTGGTCGCTATACGATGACAGTCTAGGGACAGAAAGCAACCCCTGCTCCGGCAAAGAGCGTACAATCTAGTACGAAGGGTCAAAAGGTTAGAGCCCATAGCCAGAGGCAGAACAAATCGTCCGACCTAGTCTACCCGCTAAGTAGCCGACCTACACAGCAGCCAATGTGTCTGACTATACAGCCACAAAGGACTTACTTTCTGTGATTACAACACTAGAAAGGGTGCGACACAAGCTCGCACTAAAGAGGAAATTAACAGCTCCTTCTCTTCTATATACGCGTCAATCGCGTGCTTAAATATATATCGTAAACACACTATTTTGAAAAAGTCAATTTTTTAATAATTTATTTTTATTTAGTGTTATTACCTATATAATTTTATTTATTTTATTTTATTTTATTAATTAAAATTTGATTGGAAGCGGCAGGGTTATTATATATAGTACTATAGCTTCTACGTAGTACTAATACAATAGTATCAATAGCATGTATCGTAGCCAAGACAAAGCAGTACGCTATACCAGGGCCGCCAGACAAGTAAGATAATATCATACCAGTATAAGTAATATGCTATACGCTTAACCAATAAGGTAAGATTAAACATGCATCCTTCGGATACAAAGGAATAAGCTATAGTAAAGTATCACTCATTAATATTCTAGTTATCCTGTGTGTGTTCGTCTTTGGTATTAACAGCACAGAATCTTAGTCTATTAACTTAGCTGTGCTCATTAACTGTTTATATAGTACAGTAACTAATAGCAGCTTTTCCACCGATTTTCACATAAGGTGCGTCTCTGGAAGGCAACCCTAATACTCAAGGCGAAGTAATAACAAGTAAATAGTTTGTGTGTTATTGTTATGTTTTTACTATAAAGCCATCCGCTCGCTACGAACTTCTCTGTAACCTTACGTTAGCTAAAATTTGCGTTCGCGAATACAGGGAAGATTTCACCTGCCTTTATACTTTACAAACGTCTGGCTTTTTGTCAATTTTAAGAGTGTCTTTCGACACGTGCTTCTCTAATATAACTGAAACCCCAGCTAGTTAGCTATAGCAACCTGCGCCTCTCCTCAGTGCTAGTTCACCCTAAATCCAGAGCTTAGCTAAGGAGGGTACCATAATCACGATTCTAGGTTGGTAAATAGTTAAACAATAAGTCCAAGTCTCGAATCGGGAGCTAGCCATGTTGGTCTTAGGTTAATGTACATTATCCGCCTAAGCAGAGGGCTTGAGGGATAGTCATTGATAACAGCATCGGATAGTAGAAGGCGACATGACCTAAGTCAAGATGAATCTACATCGAAAAAAGCCATCCATCTGAGGAAGACAACCTTACGGGCGACGTAGATCTAAATCATCCGTAGCCCTTGAGGACTAAGTCAGATCGCTTGCGCGAATTTTATATATAGGACTGATCTTTTTCAGCCGCTTTTACGAACAAGCACCTGGGGACAGCAGTTGGCGGCTACTCCTTACTGATATAAAGAGTGTACAGAACAAGGAGAAGGATTAAAAGGTTAGACCCAACAATCAAAGGAAATGCGCCTAACGATTCCACTAAGATCGCCAACCTATGCAGTTGCCAAAGTGTTAAACTATCAAACAACTAAGGTCTTACCTGCTGCAGTCACAGCCAAGTAAAGGTTGGACTTGCCGCGGGCATTCCTATTATATACTAGCTAAAGACACTATCTTATTTCAGTACTCCTAGCTATATGCTAGTCTATATCCTATAGTAACAAGTACTCTTGGATCGAGCCTCAACTCAACCAATTTCCTTGCATCAAGTACTAGTTAATATATGCTAATAACACTCAGTGGGACTCTTACGAACTAGGGACTACGCTACCAACAAAGTACAAACTTTTGTTTAAGTCCCGCGGCTCCGTGGTTAGAGCTAGTGCCTCATGGTTACTCAATGCATACACCTTTCTGAACAAAGGTCTTTGCAAGCGGTTAGTGACGCTGCAAGCAGGAGCATGCATTCAACTTAGTAGTTAACCGGACTAGTCTCCAATAGTAAATTGGTTCAAGTGTCATCAACCCGTCCCTTGCCTTTCACTGAGGATTAGCGTCCGGAGGGCAACCACTAGTATACCTCACGAGAGAAGGTAAGCTACTTTTGTTCCATAGGTCAACGAACCAGCAATATTAGGATAAACTTATACCGTCGATGGTAGTACCTAACTGTTACATTAGGCTCGAGATAATAGTAATAATCCTTTCGCTACAGATAAGAGAGAACCTGCTTAAATGTACCTATCTGATACGCAGTTTTTACCATTCTTAAGAGCATGTATTTCCACACTTAACAATAAACCTTCGTCTCTCCACAGTATCACGCGTGCCTCAACACGACTCGATTGGGCAGGGCAACCATATTCATGACAATTGTTGGTGAGCATTCCTGCAAGGTTCGATTACTACGGTCTTCGCTTTAGCTTACAAGACCCAGTCTTCATAGAGGGTTACTAAACACTACAGGCTTTTATATAGTCTACACACGACGCGACAATCCTTCCATGAATGCCATCGTAGTCAAAATTCTCTGTTTCCTCAGGTACCGGAAGATATCGAGAATAACATGCGCATCAGTCGTGTAGGAATGGGTACGACCTTTTTCGTACGTGATACGATAACACAATATTTAAGCCATGTTAAAGTGTGTATATTACTTTGCGAATGCATCAAGATATTGCAAACAGTTCAAGGAATTCGAGTACTACTCCTTATGTCTCCGCGACTCAGACAAAGACCTAACCAGTTTGCTTTAGTCATCTATTGATTGAATAACATAAGACTGACCTGCTGGTGTCGCAGCAAAGCAACAGATCTTTACTTGTTCGAGATGAAGTTAAGCACACGATTGAAAGTATCGATCGATCACGACTTAATCAGCACGCTCTCTTAGGACGAGTCAAAAAGCTCCTTAAATACTCTATATAAAGGCACTCTTTTGACAAAACTCGTTTTTTGCAAAAATGTAAAATGCAAAAATCAGTGTAGTTAGCTCATGATCCTTGCTAAGTACACTAATTAAGAGAAAGGAAGCTAAGTTAGTTTCATCCTTAAGAACAAGGCTTGGGAAGATAACCTTGATGCAAACTAAAAGGGATTGTTAGAGGTAATTATAGTTAGATATGAAGTTAAATAATTAGTTATAAAAATATTAAGATATAAAGTTAATTCATTACCTCTAACAGATCTCTCAACCAATCGTCAATGCTAAAAAATAAGCACTAGATTGCTACACGTTAGCTTCGTACGGTTGCAGTCTAGATGTTAACTATGGTTAAAATACTAAAACCAAGATTACTACCTAGCGGTAAAGATGCTAACTAGGTTCCACCTCTTCTCTTTGAGTTAAATTTGTGAAGCAGGTTGCTTCACCTTGGTGTCTCAACCCTAACACAGGGAACCAAGATAAGGTTAGAGAAATATTGCTTACCAAGGCTTGTTTAAAACTGAGAGCTTCGGCGTATTAGCTTAGAATGAGATAGAAAGCTTAACTTAGAGACCTTAGCTGCTAAGTAAATTAGCCACCAAAGGGATAAGTAAAGGTTAAGTTAGTTTCCTTTAGGCAGCTACGCTTAAGAATGGAATCGAACCATTGACGTTACTGTCAGCAAAATTTTACCACTAAACCACTTAAGCAAGTTCTACTAAAGTAGAACAAAAAAAAAAAGTAAAGTTAAAGATTTCCACTTTTCTAATTCTAGTGTTCCCAGGAAAGGCTATAGCCTCTGGGTCGAGCTTCTCACGTCTCGCGCTAAGATGTTAAAGTTAGATAAAATGTGTAAGTTAAATGACCGCACAGGACCAGCGACAAACAACGAGATAGTTTCCTATCTCTTATACGAGGTTTTTAACCTCTTAAGAGTAAGAGAAATGACCGATTTTAGGTTTCTTAAGTGCTTTCTACCCAGTAAAATAAGTATACATAATCTTAAGTTAGTTGAGTTTAGTCTAGGGAGAAGCACTCAAATATAACAAATTATTTTAATTTAAGAAGTAAATTATTTAAGATATTAAAATATAAATTTATTTTAAGATTTTAATTTAAGTTATATTATCCAAATTTAAGATACTAAGGTACTAGAGATGTGTTAATTATAATGTAGCTTAACTAAATTGACATTAAATTGTCAACTTTAGCTTAAATAAGTTTCCATTAAAATAAATTGTTAACTTTATCTAGTTTTAGCTAATTTTTGTTGATATTATTTCAGCTAACTTTTGTCAAATTAAGCTAGCTTTGGCTAATTTTTCGTTGACGTTAGCTAGCTTATTTAACTAAAAATTGCAAAATTTAAGCATAGAGTTTAGCACGTGTTTGTTATTACGCTTGAGTAACCCTTCATGCTACAAAATTAGCACTAGATTACTTATGTAACAGAGTCTAGATTAGAAGGTTTATCAATTATAATCAAGACTAACGTAACTAACTAACAGTCTAGACATGTTAGCTAGTTAAATGTTCTACCAAAGTTGAACGAAAACAAAGTGGATGACTTACTACTTGTCCTCACTAGTAACCTGGTGAAACGAAATACCAGATGACTACTACGCTCAAGTCGTCCCAGAGGCTAAAGCCTTTCCTGGGATCCTAGTGTAAATAGTACTGCTCAATGGGCTTGCGTCGCTGCCTGAGTCTTCTTCGCCCCAAGCTCTGTGCCTTGTTTGTTCTCAGTGATGGTCTTAGCCTGTTTTCCCATGGGTTTTCAAAAGTGCTTTACTCCCCTCGAAAATAGAAGGATGGGCCCCCTACTACTCATTACATCGAATTTATAGCGATTGTTGTTATAGTGCCGTAGATTTTGCCTTATTAGCTTTAGGTTTTTTAACGTAGTACACTGCTGTCTCGTCTGCGTAAAGTGTGATGTGCGTATGTTGGTTCGCAGGGGAGTTGAGTCATGTACACAGTGAGGACGCATGTAAAATTCTGCGTTGAGCGGACGTCGTAACTATTAAAGCGCAGATGCTAGTACAACCACTTGGGGGACAACTCTATGACGCAGCAGAAAACCCAAATGTCTGTAAAAATCCTTTTAAGGCGTTATATGGGTGAGGGGATCTTTGAAGTATCTTTGTATTTAGGGCTTTTAACATCTTGTGGTAGAGTTACAAAAAACTTTTTTATAAAACATTAATAACTTTACTGCTTTCTAAACTTCAAATAAAGTACCTACCCGCCAGATATCGGCAAACTTGTGTAAAAATGATATTTTTAAATTACAAAGTTAGCGTAATATGGGCTAAATTTTCAACGTGGGATCCTTATTCAGACCTCCTGGCCTTTGGGCATGATGCTTGAGGGATGATAAGGCATGGAGCTATATTCAATCTCTATGACCTGCTTGTAATTGTAAATGAAGGATAGCATTACTTTCCGGGCTATTATGTATATATTTAATGCTAATGAATTTGAAAAAATAGGAGCTGGCGACTTATGTTTATTTCAGGTAATTTGATTACTAAGAATTTTTTTTTTTCACTTGACTAATAATTATTATTGTAGGATAGTAATAAAAATTGGTTGAGCTTTATCAAATCAAAGGAAGAGGTAGCTTTGAAGCATGAGTTATTCCCTTTCATCAAACTTAAAAATCATCCGTCTTCCTCTACTGTATGTTTTCTGTTCTTAATTTTATAAATTAATTTTTATACTTCCTTTCAATTTTAATGTAGAGTTGGATCTATTCTGTAGAACACGATCATATAACAAATAAAAAAGTTACAGTTGCCTTTAGATTTAAAAATATAGTTGACAGTTCTTGTTTTAAAGAGAATTTTGAGAAACTTTGTCAGGGTTTATACATATATTATTACATCCTTATGCTTTACTTTTGGCTATAGAATATTTTAAAAGAATTTTTTTTTGTTTAGAGTCTGGAAATCTTCCTTCTGTCCTTCGAGATAATATAGCTCCAAAAGGTTATTGACATTTTTTTTGATGTTTTACTTCTTCTTTCTCCTAATATTCTTGGAAAGAATTTTCTTCTCTCTGCGAAAAACAAGATAAGAAAAATTTAGCTAATATTAACTTAAAAGTCTCTCCCGATTTACAGGGTAGTTTTATAAAAAAAATTTTTTTGTTCAATTTTTTTTTAACATCTCAATGCGGCCATTGAAGAACAAAATAAAAATACTTCAGTGCTTATAGAAAATTTAAAGCTGCCCTTCTTTAAAGAGTTTAGAATCACCGTACCTCTACCCGATACTTTCGGATTTTTACCAGTTTCTGCTCAAAAACAAAATGTTGGAGTCATCTGTTACTTTTCATCTTCACTAAATTTACTAATTAGTGTGGCTTAGGTGACGAAATATATACAAAAATTGCCTCTCACTATACGTCCTACTGAGCAATGGATCACTAAAAGCATCTCAAAACCTGTAGAGCACACACCTTTAAGAACCTTAACGAAAAGCAGCGTCGGTGCAGCAGAGACACCTTTTAGTAAAAATTCTCAAGAGAGGCCAGCAGATACTGAATTTCCACTCCGCTTAGATGTATTTGAGTCGCTCCCATCTTGGTTTTTACTTGCTCCTTTGCGTATTTAGGGAGTTTTAAGTATAAAGCTCTCAAAATTATGTGCAATGTTTGTATTACACGCGACTAAATTTTGGAAACAAATTAAATAATTGCCTGTTGACTGTTAATATTTCCGGTTAAAGGGTATCCAGCTTTGAAAAAAAACTGAGCAATTTTGATAGCGAGTTTATAAAACTCCAGTACGGCGTCGGATCACTTTTTTCTGCAATTAATTTCCAAACTAAACTGTCCTGCCTTTTGCGGTATTCTTTTGGCACTTAACAGTTTAATTATGCTTCCTTGCATTTTCGTAGCAGAAGCTAATGTAGCAATTGTAATTTTTCAATAATTTGCTAGTCCATCAACGTCCAGTAGATTTATAGTTAGTGAAAATATTGCGTGCATTCAGTACGGCCCATCGCAATTTCTATTCTTCGATTTAAAAATGCTACTAATGGGAAAACATATTTACGAGGTTCTATAATTAATTTACTTTTTTGGGTTGATTAGTTCATGGTATCTCTCGTAAAAGTTTTTAGAGTCCAAGAGGGAAGTTCAAGTTGCGCTTTTGAATAAAAGTGGGACGAAGCTTGCTCTTGTTAATCGCAGTTCTGTAAGTGTGATGGACGTTCCGCCTCTGAAGTGAAGTGTTTTTTTTGTGACTTTTGCGTCCGACTGAGAAGTGCTACATACTATAAAGGAACCAAGTCACCACAGTTACTCTCCAAAGGGAAGCGACTTGCAACAGTGCTGCCCCTGTGGATTATAAGTGGCATCCATCAACCCTCTTTCTAACTCATTTATTAATTTTGTGGAGTGATAACTACCTTCGGTTAGACACCCTCCTACAAAATTTTTATTACATCCTTTAAAGTGCTTTATGTGTTTCATTAACAAGCACAATACACGAGTACGTCGTCCATATCTAATTTTCTAAAACACTTTTTACCTGCAAAAAGTATATACAACTCTGAATATTTCAACGGCGGTGACGAACTTTATATGGAATCAGAAATCTCTTTAAGCCTAGAATCTACACCCACTCTCTCTCGAAATCGAGTAGTTTCCTTTGATATCCCTCCAGAAGGAAAAGGTGGGCGTTGCGCCTCAATAAACCCTTTACAATCCTCCTAGCTAAAGAGCATATGGTAGGGTGGAGCAGGCTGGCCGTGTACGTATTGACTCTGGAGGGTCGCGTTTACGTCTTGTGCCCGGTCGTCCCTTTCTCGTATTTGCCCTTATTAATATTTGTTTCCTTTACCCTAAGCTGAGATTTTTAATGGAAGTGCTCTTACAAAAAGCGGCTGGGATTCTATAGCAGAGGAGGTAAAACTCCAGCAAGAGAAGTATTGTCTTTAATGCAACTCTGAAAATTTGCTAAAATTTTTTATATAGTGGTTTAGATTCCTTAGTTATACGCAAATGGTTAAACTCATTGCTGGAAATTATTGGCCCTTTGGGGGGTCAAGAAGATAGTTGTTAATATTTTTATATCTGCATATACGTTTATTTATAGCTGTACTATTCTTACTATCAGCCTTGAAGAAAAGATGGTTTGAAAGCTACAAACCTGTTCTTCAAGGACCTCTTCACTTAGTCAAGCCAACTCGTACATAACAGTTTTCAATTTTGCTTAAACTTTAAATTCTTTAAAATCCCTTTTTGCGCCTGTAGAATATAGTCAGAACTGTTCCCTTTCTTTGAGCGACCGATTTAATATTGCTACTCGGCCCGTCCTCTTGCGCTGCGTAAATACGCAACCAGATGCTGTAATCCTCGCCTTTAAAAACGGTGTAGTTCTTTACTGTAACGCTCTGGGGCCGCCGCTACTGCCGAAATGGAGGTCTTTTGCTCTGCTGTTGTTTTTAATAATCTTTTAAAAAATGTTACTAAAGGGCCTCTTCTTCGTACTACACCAGTCTCGCATGTCCTCTAGTTTTTATGTACAGGGAAATTCAGGGTGAAAAGCTTAATTTTTCACAAGAAGGTTGCAAGTTTCAATTTTTTTTATAGCTTTGCCAATTCACACGTGCTTAATATTTTTTTAGAAAATAATCTTAAAATTTCGCCTCTTTTAAAAGATCCCTCTGAGTGGTATTCACGAATTTTTGGTGAATATTTTTTCAGGATCGATCTGATTAGATCTTAGGGATGTTGGTGGAGAGCATTCGAAAAGTTTAGAATTTTTTGATGTTATTCCTGTTAGTGACGCGAATACTCAAGCGTAACTTTTAAACTTATAGCAAATTCAACATTTTCTGCAATACTAATAATGCCTTAAAGGTTTCTTATTATCCGTGCGGAATCCATTTACGTGGTCGAGTTACCACTTTCTATAGACTACGACGAGTAGGCATTTCGATTAATACAGTTAATTTAAATTATGCTGGTTTTCATTTTTTGCGAAAGCAGTTACCGGCAGAATTTGGTTAATGCTGAACCGTTAATTGCGACGAAATTGCTTTCTGTACTCAACAGTAACGACATCGGCGATGTTTTTTTGTTAGGAGTCGCATTTTTTCGTCTGATCCAAAGTTCGGATCTTAATGTTCGGCGTTGTTTGCTGGTCTTGGCCTTGACTTCAGGGGGTGCCGCTTTTTTTTATATAGATGAAAATCATCGAATCTTGCTCTACTTAAATTAAAACAAGGAGAGTTTTGTGTATTTCCGTACGTTTCTGCGGAGAGCCGAAAGGGATTTGTGCACAACATTTTCCCTAGACAGAAATTATATTGGTCACGCGGTCTCCCAAGAGCACCTGATCATAAGCCATTGGACTTTTACGACTACCTACTCCGTTTGATGACGCTTATAAATTCTGCGTCTTCCTTGATTCTTAACTTTTCACTTGAAGTTCAAGAGCTGTTCTCACTCCCGCTTATCTTCTTTACGGCTTAAATTAATTCTGCCTTTTTATTATTATGCTTAAGACGCAACACCTGCGCCGCTAAAGTGCAGGAACTGGAAGAAATGTTTAATAAATTTCAAATAAAAGTTAGTATTTCTTTCTGTTACCGGTTGCCTACCACTTTTTACCTTTATCGCCTGAATGTCGAAGCAGATCAGCGCCTGCCAGCAGGGAGCCACGCAGCTTCAGAGCCTTCTTAAAAAAAAAGTCTATGCGCTTTTCAACGCTATTCTTTTTTTTCTACTAGAACAAGTATTATTAGTATAAAGGTGAGTTACTTAAACACGACGGAGAGAAGGATCTAAAATTCGGATTGCAGACTTTACAGGTAAGCACGTGGCCTTACTTCTTTTGTTTCCTTTTTTATATATATATTTTGGTTTCGTGGCTTCCCTTGTTTTTTCTGCACATCTGAGTTACTCATCATCTTACATTTACCAGAAAGGAAACATTTTAAAGGGCTTCATGAAGAATTCACTTTTGGATTCTCAGTGCGTTATTTATTTCTCGTTTAATTCAATTTATGTGCTATTATCATTATATTTTGTAAGACAAAAGGAAAAAGTTAGCAGACTTATTGATCAGAATGATTTGCTTATTGAAATGAACTTGAGAAAACTTCGCTTTACGCAAAAAGCACTGGAAAAATTGAATATTTAATAATTTTTATTGAAAATCTATTATTTTGTTACTAAAGTGAGCTTTAAATAAAACATAGTGCTCTTTTTTGGTCAGAATGAAACTAATTTTGATAAAACGGTAGTATGTCATAGAATTTGTTAATTGCATTTCAAAAGCCTCTAATGGTCATTTCCTGTCAATTTTTAACGAGAACTTTTGAGAGATCCGTAGTAAATAAGGCCACCATTACAACTAGCGATACCTGTCACCCTTAAGCGTATCAGTTTAACCAGTACGCTTGAAGCAGGTGTTGCTATCGGCTATACGGCACACTAATATAAGCCTTGTATTTTTAGGTTTTAGATTTAGGACAAAAAATGATGAACTCTGTTAATCTTTTTACAATTGAACGATATAAAGAAGTTTTCTGGTAAAAAAAACTTTCTAAAGTTGTTTGAAACACTTTAAAAAGCATTATCCTTTCAGAAAAAAAAATTAAGGTTTACCCTTAACTATTTAATTTTAAAAAGGTTATTTACTGAACTATTGCGAATACCAAGGGCGCACAGGTTTATACTTAGTAATTTTTGAAAAAAAATTAAGTTTAGTTCCTAAACCTGATTATGCTTCTTTTTGGCTTAAGTAAAAATATATTACTAATACTAACTATATATATTTCTAAAAGTTTGTTAAGTTTGTAATTAAGTTTATAATATAGAAAAAGTGTAAAATACTATTAATATTTATTTTATAAATATTAGAATAATTATAACTGAATTTGAAAGAAGTTAAAATAATATTTATTATATAAATATTTAAACTTAATAAAAAGGGTTTCGATCGCCTTGTGACCAAATAACACTATAAATAAAAACTCAAAGTGAATAATTACATAGTTTGTTAAGCGATTGAAAGTTTTGTTATAATTTTTTTTTAATCCAATGCGACTGTTCATTTAGTTATTTGTTAAACTTTCTAATTCTGTTTAATATGTGAAATAATTTAATTGGAAATCTTTTTTTTTTTTACTTTAAGAGAAAAGCGCATTCGGGTAGAGAAGCACGCCTAAAGCTACCCATAAAATATGTTTATGCACTAATACTTTAATAATTGAAGTGAAGAACTTCATAGAATTTAAAGACTTATTTTGTTTATAAAGGTTAGATAAAAAGTTGCCTTTTTCTAGCTTAAAACCTGGAAGTTGTCTGGCAAAAGTTCAATAAAAAATAAGATACATACGAGCGACAGTCTTTGCCTACTGCAACTAGTTAGTAGCGTGTTAGCTTTCTTATAAAAAGAAAACTTTTAGCTAATTATGTAAGAATATAACAATAATATATAAAATTTAAAAATCTTTAATATGGGCTAAAGGGGTTTTAAAAAAATGCGCACAATAAAATTTTGTATACCTCTTCCTAATCATCTACTTTTTAACTTATTTTCTTTTCCCTATGTTACTTATCTATGTTTATTGGAAAAAATATGAACCTTAAAAAAAATTGTTTTTTTTTTTTTTAAACTTTTTAAACTTTCATAATTATTCGTTACTGTTTATAATATAAAAACCTTGGGTGCATTCAAATTTGTGAAAATGAGAGAAAGATAAATGTAAAAAGGGTTTTAAACTTTATTGGTTACTTGATATAGGAAAAAATGAAGCTTAAGCATAACATGCCAATCAGAAGCATTATAATTAATAAAATATTCGTGAGATGTCCAAAAATTAAAGTGGAGGCATGAAGTACCTCAAATTTGACGGAAATAAAAAATAAGCCAATAAACCTGCAGTATTTACAAATGAAATTATTGAGAAACAAATAGAGCAAAATAGATACTAGCGAATCGTAGTGCATCTTGCAAAAACACGTGTATAAGAAACACGGATTTTTTTAAACCTTTTAATATCCTATATTTAACCAATTATAATTTTTCTTAAACTGTTATAACCAGTTATTGTTTTTTATATTATGTTTTTTATTGATAACCAAAACAGTAATGAAGAATACTATAAAACCTTTATTTTAAAATTCTAAAAGCGATGAATTTTATTTATGGAGATGCATTTTTATATTACCATAGTATAACTTTTTTAGTTTTGTTTATATAAACTATTATATAAAAAGTTTTTTAGAGTTTTATTTACTCTATAAGCAGTCTAAAATAAGAAATATAATAGATATTTTTTATTCTATTTGGATAAGTAATAATAATAAATCCTATTCAGCTTATATAAAGAGTTTATACCAAAAAATTAAAAAGTTATTATTATAATACGATTATATATAAACGCACAATAAAAACAAAAGAGTCCAAACATAATTGATGGCAAAAATCCGGAAAAAGCTAAAAGATTTAATATTATTCGAACTTTCAGATCCGAACTTTTTGAGAACCTTTTTTTAAGGTAGTAAATATATATTTATTATTAATAATAATAAAGAATTTTTATTATAAAAACAATTTTTTTTTAAAAAAAATAAAGGAATCATAAAATAATTATGAAAAAAATTACTTAAAAGTATATATTTATACATATGATTTTATATAAAAATGGGAAAATAACATTTTTAAAAAAAAATCTGGATAGACAAACAATAATAAAATAAAAATAATATATACTTTTATAACAATTGATAATAACTAGAAAACGATATTATCTTTTTTAATAGTAAAAAATATAAGACAAATTTAAAAATTTATAGTAAATAAAACAATAAACAATTTGAAGAGAGAACAAATACTTATAACATAATTGTCAAAAATAAAAATAAATATTATTTTATAAAAAATGAAATAAATGAGAATATTATTCTATAGAGGAATAGAAAACAAAGAAATTATAATATATTTAATTAAAAATAGTATAATTATTATAAATAATAAAAATAATAAAAAATAAAATATAATAAAGTATTATTATCGTTAAAAAAATGAAACAATAAGTAATAATAGTACTAAAATAAAAGCATTAAGAATAATAATACAATAATTATTATAAAATTATAATTATTAATATTTTCTTGAACAAAATATTAAAAAAATAAAAAAATATATTATGTATATAAATATAAAATAAACTATTATTATTAAAATATAAATAAATATTATAACAAGTGCATATAATGTTACTATTATTAATATAGTTATAAAATAATAATAAAAATATAAATAACTGTTTTTTATATAATAAATTTGATAGTAAAAAGATATAAAAAAGTATCAGCAAAATAAAATTAATATTATATAATTGTAATTACAAAATAATTATAATTAAATAATACTATAAATAATTGTATTATAAAAAAGAAAATAAAAGTATATTAAGTAGTTTAATTATAAAAAAAAATTTAGAAGAAAATATATTAAATACAGGAATTTTAAAAAAGAAAAAATTATAAATATTATTATTATAAAATAAATAATTTTTAATAAAAAAAACTTAAGATAATATTAATTATAAAGTATTATTAGAATAAATAATCTAAATTTTCAAAGAAGTAATATAAATTAATAAAAAAAATATATGCGTAAAGAAAAAGTTATGAGCTTTTATATAATAATAGTGATCAGACTATATAATTTTAATAATAAACATAAATAATAATAATAACTTTAACAAATTATAAATGCAACTATAATAATATTTATAAGATTAATATTATATCTAAAAAACTATTTAAACAATAATTCTATATAATAATATTAAAAAATTAAAATATAAGCTAAAATAAAATAATAACAATCATTAATAAATAATACATACGAAAAAGTTATAATATATTTAATTATATATACGATAATAAAGAAATTATATATATATATTTAGAATAAAAAAATATACAATATAATAAATTATTATAAAGTAAATATAATAAAAAAATAATAAAATATAAATAATTTATAAAAAAAGAAAACTATATATATTTATAATAATGCTTATAACATAATAATAATAGAAAATAATCAAAATTAATAAATAATATAAAAAAGTTTTTAAATGTTATTAAAAAATATAATTGGCTAATAGGATAATTTTAAGGGTTTTTTAGCCAATAAAATAATAATAAAGTTAGCAATATTTTTATTGTAAACGTTTTACTTTTTTATCAAAATACTTGGAAAAACTGTAGAGCAGCCGTACTAAAAAAGTATTTTCATAAGTTTTCTTGATATAATAATATTTTCTTTGCGATTTCTGTAACGTGAAAAATATATATAAATAAAAATATATTGGATGTATATCGAAAGTAAAAACCATTACAAACTTTTTAGAGGCGTTGATTGTTCTTACAAAAGGTTCGTTATTTTTATTATTCAAAAGTTCTTGTTGTTTTATGATTCGCGAAGAGTTTATAAGCTGAATAATAATAATAGTAATAATAGTAATAATAATAATAATAATAATAATAATAATAATAATAATAATAATAATAATAATAATAATAATAATAATAATAATAATAATAATAATAATTATAATAATAATAATAATAATAATAATAATAGTAAACTTACCTTGCACTTTTGGGTCGGCGGTTCGTACGCCGTGGATTGGTAGGTTTGCGATTCGTTACATTTCTTAACAAAAGATTATTAAATAAAAAAGATATTTTTCTATTAAGAATTAAATTATTAAAAAAAATATATATATAAACTTTAATAAAAAGAAAAATAAAACTTTTTATCCTTACAAATAATAAAAAACTTTTTAGAATAAACTTTTGGAGAACATTTACTATTTTAGTAATAATAAAATTTTGTTGATAATACATAAATAAAACTTTTAAGTACTTTTACTTTAAAAAAGCTTGATAATAACTTAATAATATAAACTTTTTTTCAAAAATCTTTTCAAGGACTTTTACTATTACAAAACTTTTTTTACTAAATTTACAAGTACATTTACTATTTTCGTAAGGATAATTTAAAAAATTACAAATAAGAAAAAAAATAAGTAAAACCTTTATATTATTAAACAAAAACAACAAACTTTTCTTTACTTTGAAAAGAGAAACCAAGAACTCCACAACTTCCGTAATAACTTTTTTGCGTCTCGCAAGCGAAATTCGAGCGTTCCAGCCATCAATAAACTTTTTCAAGTACGTAAAAGTTTTCAGCGAATAAACTTTTTATAGAGGTTATAAAGCAAATATAACGTTTAAAAGTATTGAATACAATATATATGTAATAAAAAAATAAATAGTAAAAATATAATTATTATTAACAATAATAAATAAAAAAGTAGTAAAAAATGTATTTTATAGTAAAACTCTCTAAAAAGCATAAAAAAGTGAAAAAAAAAAAATTTTGTATAAAAATATTATAATAATATGTATGTAAATATACTTTAAAATTATTCAAAACAAAACTTAAAGTTTCCCGTACAAATTCTATAGCAAAAAATAATGAAAGCTAAAGTAATTTATAAAATTTTATAAAAAAAACTTATAAAAATTATCAAATAACTTAAAGGTTTGCTATAAAAAAACTCTTCTAGTTAAAAAAAATTAATTACAAGTTAAAATATGAAAATATTATAAAGAAAATTTTAAAAAATAATAAAATAATAAAAGTTAATTTAAAAAAGTTTTATAAGTATAAACAAAAATGTAAGAAAAGTTAATATTAAAAAATTTTCGAAGGTATAATATAATAATTATAAAAAGTTAATAATAATATAGTAAAATTAATAATATAATAAAAAACGGAAAAACAATTTATAAAAAAACTTTTCCCTTTTTATTTTTAATATAATAAATTTATCAATATTTAGAAAGTTTTCTTTTGTAATATTAATAGTAATATGGAAAAAAAAAGTTTTCATAGCAAAAGTTTATATTAATTTTTATAATAATAATATATAAATCCGTTTAATAAAAAATTAAGTTAAATTATATTTTTACTTTTAAATTTATATAGTAAAAAATATTATAATATAAAACTTTCATAATATTTAATAAATGTATAAAAATAGTATAAGACATGAATAATATATAAAAAATAAATACTATAGGAAAAATATTATTAAACAAGAGTTGAAATATATGAAAAGAATAATTATAAAAAAATTATATAAAATATTAATAACTTACAATTCATAAAAACTACATATTTAAAAGTAAATAATAATAAAAATTTATAGAAAAACTTTTATTTATAAAAATAATAAATATAATGAGTTCAATTTTGTTTAATAATATAAATTAATTTTTTTAAAAACAATAAAAAAACTAAATACTTAAAGAAAACTGAATTTAGATAGTAATAAAAAAATTATCATAAAAAAGTATATAAAATAATAAAAAGGTAAAATAAGTAAAATATAAATTTTTTTAATAATAAAATTATAATAAGAAGTATATAAAAAAATAAAAAAAAAGTATGTAAGTATAAAGTATTTCGGAAAAAGATTTATAATTTATATAATATTCTTCAATTTTATTTTAAAAATAATACAAATATAAAGCATTAAATGAAAAGAAAGATAATGAAACCTAATAATAATAAGATTACTATAAATAATAAAATAAAATGAAATAAAAATAAAATAAAAATAAAAATCATTAACAAAAAAACCAAAAATAAATAGAAATTATAATTATATAAATAATAATAAAATAAATTAAAAAAAAAATAAAAAATAAAAATAAAAATAAATATAATAAAATTTAGTTAGAAAATAAATAATTACAAAAAAAATAAACGAAATATAAATATTATTAAGAGTCAATTTATAATAAATATCTAAAAAGTAATAAAAAGTTAGAAAGGAAAACATAAAATATATGGAATATATTTATTAAAAAAATAATAATTTTTAAAATAATTTATTAATTAATTAAAACTAACAAGTTTAGGAAAAATAATAATAAAAAAGTAATTGAAAGAAAATTTATTTAAAAATAATAATAATAAAAGTTAATAACACTAAAATTAAAAAATTAGTAAAACTAAATTTATAATTTAAATAAAAATGGAATAAAAATTAAAAAATACAATAAAATAATTATATATATTAAAAAAAAATATAAAATAAAAAGAAAATGCAGTAAAAATAAATAAAATGTATAGAAAAATTATAATATACACATTAAAATATAAATAGAAAATATTGATATATGAAAAAATAAATAGTAATAAATTTCAAAAGTTCATATAACAAAATTACTACTAATAAATAAAAATAAAAAAAACAAAAGCAAGAAAGTAAATAAATATTATAAAAAATATAAAAAAATATGATTATTAAAAAAATAATAATAAAAAGCGTACGATATATTTCTATTAAAAGTTTTTTTTCATAGTATATTATAAATATAAAATTAAGATTTTATAGTAAAACCTTATTTCTTAAAATTTAAATGAAACATTAAATATAAAAACAGTACAAAAAAACTTTAAAATAATAATTTAGAAAAAAAGCAAAAAATATAAAGAAAACTAAAACAGAGTTTATAAAGAAAAGTAAAAATATATTTGCTATAATATAAAAGTTAAAAAAAAACAAAAAGTAAAACAATAAAAAGAAAAATATTTAAAAACTGAAAGCAATTTTATAATGAAAATAAAAAATGTTGAAAAAAAATCATTTAAAAGTTAAAACAAATGTATATATAATAGTATTCTACAAGAAAAAAAAATTATCAAACTGCTAGTTATTAATAATAATAAAAACGAAAAAGTTGAAAAGATAAAAAATAAAGAATATAAAAAAATATGATAGTAATATAAAAGTTGAATAAACGATAAACAAAAAAAAATTATAAAATAAAAAAGTAAAAATTATAACAAAAAATAAAAAACCTAATAATTGGTAAAAAGTAAAAAATAATAACTAGCAAAAAAATATATAAAACTGGAACGATTAATAAAACCAAAAAAGTAAAAATATATTTATAAAAAATATATATAGTAAACAATAAAAAGTAAACCATAAAACTGATAAAAGTTTACTACAAATATAATATATTAATAAAAAAAAGTTTATAGACCAATAAACGAAAAGAAGAACAATAAAAATATAGTAAAAAACTAAAAGGAATGAATTTGAAAATTATAATATGTTTAAGATATAAGAAATTTACAAATAGTAAACAAGAAAAAAATAGTATAAATCTGAAAACAATAATAGAAAAGTAAAAAATATAAAGAAAAATAAAAATAAATACAATTAATGAAAAAAAACGGGACTTACCAAAGTGCCATGCATCGGTTGTAACTTTCCACAACCGCACGTGGTCGTTCTCCTCATTAAAAACTTCCTCCGACAGGTGGCAAAAGTCACGTGAGCGAGATTTTAACGAACTTGAAAATATATGATTTACGCGTTCACTCTCGCAAAAAAGTTGCAGAGTCTTTAATACGTATAGATATAAAAATAAAAGTTTATTATACTATTTGTTATCATTATTAATACCTCAATAATCTCTTCAATGACGTCAGGTGCTCTACTACCCGTATAAAATGGTGAAAAGTCTTGACTCAAACCAAATCTACTTCGATAGTTTTGAAAGAACTCCGGTTTTATTAGCCCTAACAATTAATAAATTAATGATAATATATATATTTAAAAATAGGTATATAACAAACCATTTTCCTGAAAGAGTTGGCTTTCCACTAAAGCGGTTATAAATTACATGGATAAAATAATAATAACATTCGAGAACCTTTTTCGAGTAAAATATAATAAGACTTTTCTTTAAAAAGCAGTATAATATCTGCAAGCATGGCGAATCCCAACGACGAAAAATTATAGTCCCTTAACAAAACTTTTTTTATATAAAAAATTCATAAATAATTAACCAATTAAAATTATAAAAGTTTTTTGTTATTAAAAGAATAAAATTTATAATAAAAATAATTTTACTCTTAAAAATGTTAATATAAAAGATAATTAACCAATTAAATATTAGAGTAAGATACAAAAGTTTTACTATAAACTTATAAATTATTTTCTACGAAAAATAGTCAATATATATATTAAAAATAAAAATTTTACTATAAACTGTATAGAATTTAAAATTTCATTTTTCTATAAAAATATTCAAGATAAAACTTCTAACCAATAGAAATTAAAAATAAAAATAAAGTTTTACTTTAAAACTTTTTCAAGTTGAAAAAATTATAATAAATAATAATTATATTTCTTAAGTAGATATACTTTAGTAAAAACGTATTATTAAATAACGTTATCAGTATAAAAAGAATATATAGAAAAAATATATAATATAAAAATATAAAACTTTTTTATTTAAATAATTTCTTCAACAGTTCCCTTCATAATTTCTTTAAAAAAGAAAAACGGTAATAATAAAAAAACAATATATAACTTCACCTAAATAGAAAAAATAAATGTTATAATGACTAATAAAAGTGATAATAAACAAAATATATACTTGTATAATAAATGTTAATAATAGATACATTAAACTTTTAAACTATAAAAATAATAAGTGAATGATAATTTCTAAAAAAAAGTAATAAACTTTTTAAGTATTCAAAAATAAGAAAAAAAATACTTCATAAAAGTTAAAGAAATTAAAAAATTAAGATGAATTCAAAGAAAATAATAAAATAATTGTATACGATAAATAAATAATGCACTCAAAAACTCTAAACGTATTTAAAATAATAATAAATAGTTCGGTAATATTTTTTACAACGTTTTATAAATAAGTAATTAATTAATAATAAATAAAAAATCAAATTCGCAAGTTTAATAATAGAAGTTAAAGAAATATTTACTATAATAGAAAACGCTTAATAGAAGTTGAAACTAAATTATATTATATATAATAATAAATCTTAAACAAAACAGTAATACTTTATAAATATAAAATATTACTAATAAAAATAATAATATTTATAATAATATTTAAATATATATTTAACAATAGTCAATTATTATTATTTCATAATAGTATACAATTTTATTAAAAGTTATCTACTTTTTCTTTTTAATATTTTTTTTTATATTATTGAAAAATAAATTTTAACCATAAACATTTAATATAAAATATTATTTTATAAAAATTTAATATTTTAAAAATTAAAAAATGTAACAGTTTTATAGATATTACATAAAAATATTAAATATTTTTTTTAAAAAAAATTTATATACATCACCATTGTCACTGGTACTATTATTATAATTACAAGCTTATAAACTTTTATAATAATATTTCTAAGATTGGTATATGCATTTATTATTATTTCTACAATTTAAATATAAATAAAAAAAACTTTTAATAAAACAAATTTTTTTCCCAATTTATATCGAATATATTTATAATTATTATTATATTTTTAATATTATTTATAACAATTTCAAACAAATCGTCTTTGAATACATAAAAACTTTTATTTACTTTATAAAAATATTAAAAAGCATTTATATTTATTAGGTTTATTGGGAGAAAATATTTCATTAAGTAACACGAACCAATAATTTTTTACTAAAAACTTTTGGAGCAAATAGGAGTAGCCCGGCAGAAAATCAACAGTGAAAGTAGCGCGAAAAATATTCTCCGCTAATTCGATATTCCAATCCATCAAAAATAATGAATCTTCTTTTTGAGCGTAAAAAAATATTAACCAATAATAGCTGTAAAAAAATAAATATCTAATAAACTAATAAAAATAAGAATAAAATCCAAAGAGAAATTTTAAGAAGTTAAACCAAATAATTTTTTTATTAATAAAAATTTATTAATTAATAATAAAATATAATGAAATAGAAAGAAAATTTTGAATAAAACTTTCAAGTTTATATAATAATTATGAATGATAAGAACAAAAAACAATGGAAAATGAAATACTAAAAAAGACATTTTTAACCGAAATAATAAACATGCCTCACAAAATTTTAAATACTATTTTAACATTAAGATCAGAAAAAAAATTAATTTTGTAATAAAAGTTAAAAACAAAATTGTTAACAGAAATAAAAAAATAAATAGACAAAAATATAATAAATCTTTTTCTATAAATATATTTAATATAAAAAAAAAATTAATAAAAAGTTTAAATCTAATTATAAAGTAATTTTATATTCGCTAAAAATACAAATAAATAAATAAATACTGAATAAAAATTACTAGTAAACCTATAAAATAGAAAGCAAAGTAATAAAAATTATTAGTGGAAATTAAATAAAATCAATTGATCATCCAATAAAAACTTCTATTAAGCAAACAAGTGAAAATTAACAGACTAATATAAGTAATTATTATTTTTCTAAAATATAACCCAATTAGGATAATAATACATATATACTTTTCCCTGCACATTCCTTAATAAGCAAGTAGAAGGTATTATATAATAATGAATATAAAAAAACTAACCAACACTAATTTTATTAATAAATATATTCTATCAATAATATTTTAAAAAAGCAATAAAAATAATTTTACGTGTTTCTACAAATTTTTAATGATACAAATAATTTCTTCCCTTAAAGTTTCTAATAAACCGATCAAAAATGGCTATAAGTTTTGATAAAAACCTTTAATGTATTTTTCTGTTAGCCCATAAAAATAATTATAGTAAAAACCTTTTAAATAAATAAAAGTGTCTTCCTTGACAACTCCATTGTCTGATAAAAATTTTGTCCTAATGTGCATCAAGAAATTAATAAGGATAATAAAATAATTAATAAAAAAAAGTTCTATTAAGCTGTCATATCAATGAAAATGTAAAAATAATAAAAGTTATAATGATGAAGTTTATATAAATTTTTTTATAAAAAGTATTTAATATAATATAAATTATTATAGTAAGAAAATATAATGAAATATTATATTTATTAGAAAAATATAAAGAAAAGTAAAATAATAACATGTTTTATATGAAAAAGTAAATTTGTTTATATGTTTAAAATTACAATAATAATAATAATAATAACTTTTGCTTAAAAATAGATACTATTAACAATAAAAATTATAATAAAATAAACAAAACTATTAAAAAAATAAGTATAATATTACAATTATTAAAAAATGTATTAATAACTAAAAAGAAAATACAAAAAAATACAATATTAATGGAAAAATATCGCTTTTAAAAAACAATAATAATATTATTATAAATATAACAATAATTATTATAAACATATTAAGTATGATATTACTTTAACAATAATAATAAATAATAAAGGTTTGTAAATATCAATAATAACAATTATAAATACCAAAGTTTATAGTCTACTGAAAAAAATGAATAAAAAAAGTATATATAAAAATAATGGTAGACGGAACTATAACTAGTATATTAAAAGTAAAAATAGATGATTTATAATAATAAGTAAAATGACGTTATATATACCTAAATATAAAAAAGGTTTAAAGATATATATAGGATATAAATTAAAACCAGTTTATTAATAAATTAATATAAAAGTAATATTAAGTAAAATAAAATCCTAAATGTTTACAAAAATGATAATAAAGCAAAAAATACATAATTGTATATATAAACAATCAAACAATAATATTTATAAATTCGTTAACAAACTATTATAAAAAAATAATAATGATATGAAATAAGTATGATAATAAAAAATAAAAAATATTAATACATTTAAAATATAGTGAAAGATAAAAAAAGTTTAGCCGTAAGTAAAAAACTATAGCAAGTAAAAAATAATAAAGTGAAATAACAAGTATACTTAACTATAAAAGAGTTAATTAATAAATAAATGAAAGTAAAATAACTATTATATAATAATAATATAATTAAAAAAAATAAGTATCCCCGAATATAAAAAAAGTTTATGTACCAAAAAAATATAAATAAATAAGTCTATTAATATATAATAAAGAAAATTATAACCACTCTATTTTCAAAAAGTTTAGAATATTAAATATATATAAAGATTATTAATTGATTACAAATGTATAATAATAAATATAATAAAAAGTTAAATAAAAGTTAAACTATAATGAGTAAAAAAACATAAAAGTAAAAACAACTATACTTAAACATGAAAAATTCATAATATATATAAATATAAGTCTGTTACTATTTCATAAGAAGAAAAATAAGTCACAATAAAAGCAAAAAGATATAATAATAAGTAAAGGAAAAAAATTATATTTGAACAATAATAAGTAAACTGTAATTCCTGTAGTCTTGAATATACGAAAATTTGATTTTAAATAATATATTTTATTCATAAATATTATAAAAAATAATAACTAGTATATTAAATGAAAAAAATTACTTAAACATTACAACTTTAAAAAAAATATTTATAAATCTATTGATAAATAATAATAGAAATATTTATACTTAAATATATAAAAACAAAATAATAACATGTATAGTAGAAGTATTAAAATACATAAGTAAAGAAAAAGTATGTACAATAATAATAATTATACTTAAGAAAATATAATAATAATCTATACTTAGTAAAGTCTATTAATAAAATAATGAAATATAAATATATAAAAAATATAATAAACAATAATAAAGTGAACCTCCACGGCATAACAAAGGATATATACAAACTATATAAATATCTAAAAGTTTGAGGGTCCACCGCTTCGCGAAGAAAAAAGTTTATATACTTGAAAAGTTCGTTATAAAACGAACAAAACGCACAAAAGTCTGCTTGAATTTATATAAAAATAAATATATTTAAATAATAGTATTTTAAAAATAACAAAAATGATAAAGAAAATAAAAAAAATGACAAAAAAAAGAAAAGAATAAAGTATTTGTTATAAAATATATATGATCAAAATTTTATAT